CTACTGCATTGAGTGAAATTACGTCATAAACATACCAAATTTTATGTATGCCATAATATAAAAAAAATCACCTCTGTGTTTCAGCATCGTAAATATCATACATTAGGAATACAAAATATGTATTTTGTTCGCCAAAGTATTCCACATAACAATGGGTATTCATTATATGGGATATTTACTATCCGGGAACATACTAGATAATAATCTCTATTTACTATCCTGACACATACTAGATAATAATCTCTATTTACTATCCTGGAACATACTAGATAATAATCTCTATTTACTATCCTGGAACATATTAGACAAAAATCTCTATTTACTATCAGGGAACATGCTAGACAATAATCTCTATTTACTATCCGGGAACATGCTAGACAATAATCTCTATATACTATCAGGGAACATATTAGACAATAATCTCTATTTCCTATCAGGGAACATACTAGACAATAATCTCTATATACTATCCTGGAACATACTAGATAATAATCTCTATTTACCACCCTGGAACATATTAGACAAAAATCTCTATTTACTATCAGGGAACATGCTAGACAATAATCTCTATTTACTATCAGGGAACATATTAGACAAAAATCTCTATTTACTATCAGGGAACATGCTAGACAATCATCTCTATTTACTATCAGGGAACATATTACACAAAAATCTCTATTTACTATCAGGGAACATGCTAGACAATCATCTCTATTTACTATCAGGGAATATCCTAGAAAATAATCACTTTTTACTATCCTGGAACATACTAGATAATAATGTCTATTTACTCTCCGGGAACATACTTGACAATAATCTCTATTTACTATCAGGGAACATACTAGACAATAATGTCTATTTACTATCAGGGAATATCCTAGAAAATAATCACTTTTTACTATCCTGGAACATACTAGATAATAATGTCTATTTACTATCCGGGAACATACTAGACAATAATCTCTATTTACTATCAGGGAACATGCTAGATAATAATCTCTATTTACTATCCTGGAACATACTAGACAATAATCTCTATTTACTATCCGGGAACATACTAGACAATAATCTCTATTTGCGAACTGTGCGGTTAACTCCAGTAATTCTGTGAAATCGTAATGATTATATATTTGTGACGTGTGTCCTCGGTCTCGTGTTGTACACGTAGGTTATTAGCGTAATATCTCGTCTACTAACAACCGGAAGAATCTCGGAGTCATAGTGTATATAACAGGTAAACCTACTGTGTTTTCAGTGTAGAGGTCGGTTGAGTTGGGAACCGAGTGGACAGTATATTTCATCGAAGTCAACCATGCCAAAATAAAAAAAACCCCGGATGAGTGTGTGTTATGAATTTAATGCGCCTTTGAGCAGTATGTGAGTTTTATCACGGACCATCAGATTGTTGAGTGAGTGAGTGAGTTGGGTTTAACGCCACTTTTAACAGTATTCCAGTTATATCACGGCGTGTCAGCTTAATGTGGGAGGAAAGCCCGAAGTGATGCAGGTCTTATACGGTTACCACGAGCACGGGTATGGTGCTGACAAACCCAGAAACATAATCGGGGCGAACCGCGATTCGAATTCACAATCATAGGTTTCTGGCGTGCCCAAGGGACGCAACTCTGCACAGCGAATCGCTATGGTTGCTAAAATTTTAAACAAAATGGTTCTTCAAAAGGGGTGTATTTGATTCGGGTATCATCGTTGTTTGGCGACAGTTTTCAGCCTATAGCCCTCGATACTTGATATAGAATCACGAAAAACGCGATGATTAGTTAACGCAGATAGCTGCATGTGTGATAATACCTATAAAATAAAAACAAGCCATTCCGCTGATAAGAAAAATTATTTACAGTAATGACAAAAAGTGCGCGTTTAAAAAAATATCCATTCGCTCGGGATAAACATCACCACTGCGTTTTGATCACGTGATTACTATACGGGAAGCTTCGACAATCATGTGATAATATGTAGGCTATATTTAGCATCGTGTGCACCATAGACAGACAGACAGACAGTTTATTCAGTAAGAAGGCCATAGGCCCATAATACAGACAATGGTTGATGGCATGAACTACGCATGCCAAGGAAGTAGTCGATTTAAGTTTCTCTTAGCCGTTGGACCTTATAGAGATATAAACATGTTATATATACAACATTAAAGTTTTCTGATGAAATAATTTCAGTAAAACATGTTACAGTTTGAAACTTGATATACTGTTTAAGATACATATTTTTTAGGGCTGAATAACGCTCACATACAAGTAAAACATGAAATTCATCTTCAATAAAAGATATACCATATTCTATACAATATTTACATAATCGTTCAGTGTATGGGACATTTGTGTATCTCCCCACGTCAACTGCAAGTTTAAACTTGCTACATCTGAAACGAGACATACATATTCTCAGATGTACTGGTATGGGGAGTGTAAGATATTTTTCGACATTTAACAGGGATTTAAAAGGTTTATAATAAAAGGTATCACTCATATCCAAAACCTAATTTATACAAAATATTCTTAATGTGAGTAGCCCATGTGGTGCGACCAGAATGGTCCAGTGATCTGAGCATTAAATAACATTGTCGAGCATTGTCGTATTGAGCATCGTGTGCAACATAGGTACATTACCAACACAATCTGAATTTTTTTTTACCAAAAACGTGCTGATGTAGAATTTAAGGCGCTATTGACACAGTTCACTGCTAAATATAACCGCTCGCAGTCATTGCTGATTCTTACCCGGATTGTAACACGTGATCATGATGTAAGTATTGGTACACTTGCAACTATCATCGGGGGCACGGGTGGCCCAGACGTCTAAGGCGCCGCGATTCGCTGTGCAGAGTTGCGTCCCTTGGACACGCCAGAAACCTATGATTGTGGGTTCGAATCCCGGTTCGCCCCGATTATGTTTCTAGGTTTGTCAGCACCATACCCGTGCTCGTGGGTTTCACCGAAGTGGTAAATGTCTGAGACCTGCATCACTTCGGGCTTTCCTCCCACATTAAGCTGACACGCTGCGATATAACTGCAATACTGTTAAAAGCGGCGTTAAACCCAACTCACTCACTGCAACTATCATCGTCAAATAATCATCGCGATATTTCGTGATTCTATTTTTCGTGGCAAGGACTGATCTCACGATTTGATAACGTTTGTAATTTTGGGGGCGAATCCAATTTTCTTTTCTACTTTCTTTTGTCCGTCAATTTAAATTGGTGAAATAAACACAAATACATCGCTGTTCCCAAAATGAAATTACGAGTTGCGTTGTTACCAAGTCGAAATTTGATCTTAGATCCTGCACGTATATAGTTGATATATAGTATAAAGTAAATAGTGTATAGTAAATAGTTGTACCCTGTGCACCAAAGCGAATTACTTTTCACCATAGGGCGTGCGTTCGGAAATAGTCAAAGTGAAATTAAAAAACAAATCAATAATGTTTGGTAGTCTTTGATAAGCATTTAGAAGTTGGAAGAACATGTATACGTGACACATTTTAATGGATAGCAACTTTTTTTTATTCTTTGCACTACGTTTGGAGCTACTTCTTGCTCCGGTTCGCCCCAATTATGTTTCTAGGTTTGTCAGCACCATACCCGTTCTCGTGGGTTTCACCGAAGTGGTAAACGTCTGAGACCTGCATCACTTCGGGCTTTCCTCCCACATTAAGCTGACACGCCGCGATATAACTGCAATACTGTTAAAAGCGGCGTTAAACCCAACTCACTCACTCACTCACTTCTTACTCCTCCATTATGTGAATGCTCCTAAGCTTCGTCATTATATTATTATCATTGTACATTAACCCTATGCGACTGGCTGTCATCATGTTGTTGACCGCCTCCGTGGTCTAGTGGTAGAGCGGATCTGAAGGTCAGAGGTTCGATCCGCGTCGTACGAAAAGACGACCAAAGATGGTACTTGTTGTTACCCTGTCTGGCGCTCGGCATTAAGGGGCTAGAAACAAGGACTGGTCGGCTCGGAGTCAGTATACTGTGTCTGAGTGGGGTATTCATGTTAAACTGCGGCATGGTATCTCAGTGGGCTAGCACTTTATATTGGCATCAGTCCGGACTAGTACAAGCAGACACACACACACACACACACACACACACACACACACACACACACACACACACACACACACACACACACACACACACACACACACTTACACACACACACACACACACACGTGCATGCGACGTTAAACCCCATTTCACCTCACCTCACCATCATGTTGTTATCCTTGCACACTCATCTCACCTCACCTCACCTTGTGTTGTGTAAACATCATGATATATATATATAGCGAAAGTACTATGATTGAAACTGATATAAAGTAAGATGATGGACTAACGTGGACTTTATTATTTTATTATATATATATATATATATATATATATATATATATATATATATATATATATATATATATATATATGACTAATATATACTCGTACCTAGCTCTGAAACGTCGTACAAAGAATAAAAGAAGTTCCTATCTATACAAAAGTGTCACGTATAAATAAATGCTTTGTAATTGTGATCTCGGACTGTTAAAAGTACTTTTCTGTTTGGTGAAATAAAAGTATGAAATGAAGAGACACCATGTGATCACTTTTATTAGAAAAAGTGTTATAATTCTCGCGGGAGGCAGGTTTTCGTCGATGCAGCTCATTTTTTAAACGTGATGTAAGTATTCGAAAGACTCCCTGTGTTGGTAAAGGCTTAACCAGAATTCTTCAGATTGATACTGTAACTCATTTTACATTAAATCACACAGGTTTAAATTTTAATTTTGATCAACATTTTTTATTAATTCATATTTATTACAGATCACCCTTTTTGAGAAAAAAGACCGAGACGTAATAAACAGTGCGTGCGAATTGCAAGACCACGTGTGTCATAAGAAAGTAGATTTTCATGATTGGTAATACGTACTCTCGTGGCTTCTGTTTCACGTGAAAAAACGTCACCTACCTGCACATGCAGTAACACACACGAGGACGACAGTAACAACAGTCCACTCCATGGCTAACTTATTCCCCGCTTCGTCTCAAACCTCACTACCTTCTCGCAACATCCAAACTTCGCTGAACGCCCATGGCAAATACATATACAATTGAGCACAAATCGGTTTCGGTTAACGAAACCGGTTTGAAAATAGTAACGCTCTTGCACAAGTAACAGCTCCATATTGACATAATATCTTATTCGTTTCTACTTACATATGGCCATATATTATTTTGAATTCATAAATATACCGATTTAGGGTTAAGTAGTTTTCAGCCTACGCCACACTGAGAACAAATAACACGGATAACCGAAACCGGTTTATTTGGTTTGCGTCACGACCGAATCCGGTTCTTTGGATATAATGTAAATATCAGAAACACATTTCGATACAGTTAAGAGTCTTGGTTGTGAAAAGAAGTTCTGAAAGTGAATAATATCTATATAGCCCCGCCCTCGTTCCCCTGTATGAGGATGTAGCGGCGGTTTATGTAAACGGCAGTTGTTAACTCAGGGATGCAGCACAATGCCCCCCGGTGAATCTCCTTGGATACCTCCGCACGTGAAGTATTTTGAAATGTACAGATGTTTCGCGATATTAGTTGATATGTGTATTCACACTCACATATAGGAGAGTCTGATTATGATATGAACTTATATATATATTAACATGTATTACACACGACCCGCGAAGATCCGGGGTAGAATAGATCTTCAGCAACCCATGCTTGACGTTTCTATGCTTGTCGTAAAAGGCGACTAACGGGATCGGGTGGTCAGGCTCGCTGAGTCATCGTATCTCAATTGCGTGGTTTGATGCTCATGATGTCAATCACTGGATTGTCTGGTCCAGACTCGATTATGTACAGACCGCCGTCATATAGCTTGAATATTGCTGAGTGCGGCGTTAAACAACAAACTCACAAACAAACAAACAAACTTAACTGTGTTATGTACAGAACAGTTTAACGACGTTTGTGTAGGAAATTGGATATGTAATAATTAGCGAGAATAATGCACCGCGAGTATGAGATAATGTTTGGGCCGAGATGCTAAAACTTCCCCCAACTGTGTAGCACATCAACCATATTTCTATAAATGGTTTCTTTGCGGAAAGTCTGCTCTTGTACATCAGACGTTATTCAAAATTAACACAGTATTTATTATTTCCAACAGAATCTGTTAATGTGCTGTCGTGGCAATGATTTGTCTGTCCCATCACTTGATTGTCTGGTTTGTTTACAAGCCGCCCTCGCCGGGTAACAACATACACTTACTATTTCATGCGACCCGTGAAAATTCCGGGGTAGAACAGGTCTTCAGCAACCCATGCTTGCCGTAAAAGGTGACTATGCTTGTCGTAAAAGGCGACTAACGGGATCGGGTGGTCAGGCTCGCTGACTTGGTTGATGCATGTCATCGTATCCCAATTGCGTGGATCGATGCTCATGATATTAATCACTGGATTGTCTGGTCCAGACTCGATTAATTTACAGACCTCCGTCATGTAGCTGGAATATTGCTGAGTGCGTCGTTAAACAACAAACAAACAAACAAACCAACCAACTATTTTATGCAAATTGTGTTGGTTGCAGGTTCCACCGTTTGTATTTATTTTGATATCATTCCAAAAGAACTCCTCAAATCAAGTTGTATCTCACCTGTCGCTCTTTTGTTTATCATTAACCATTAATAGTGAGTGACTGAGAATGTTTTTACGCAGCGTTTAGCAATATTCCAGCAATATCACGGCGGGGCACACCAGAAATGAGCTTCACAAATTCTACCCATGTGGGGAATCGAACATGGTCTTCGGCGTGACGATCGAACGATTAACCACTAGGCTACCCCACCGCCCATAAACTAATATGAATCTTGATGTTATGACACTGTATAGACCACCCGATTCCGTTAGTCGCCTCTTACGACAAGCATAGTCGCCTCTTACGGCAAGCATGGGTTGCTAAAAACCTATTCTACCATGAATTTAGAATTTACGCGATTCTGATTGGTCAATCAGAGGCTATTAAATCACAATAAACCCCGTAAGCTAAAATTGATAGAATAGTACTATTTTCAGTCATTGTCGGTAGGCACATTTAAATAATTATATCTACAATTACAGGTTACAAAATGCACAGATGCGGTTACTACAATATTCAAAGGATGTGTGGCAATACAATTCGTGCAGAAAAATACGACAGAAATCAACAAAGGGAATGTATTTACGTTTTGAAGACAACAGAGAGCTTGGAATTTTGGCGCTTTTCTATATACGACTGTGACGTCATATCTTTTGCGTCACAATGAGCGATATGACGTCATAATGGTGACGCGCGATGTAGAGCGAAAGCCTTGCAAAGCTTGCTTTGTTTTCTTTAGGGATGCCCACCTCATGTTAGCTTACCAAGTTGGCGTGCTTATATACTTTCAATGCCTGTCATATGTTCGAGAGAAGTATTACGGTGTAAACAAACTGCTTGCGTATATACAGCACCATATTTTGTTCGGTGATTCCGCAATTCAGATCGATAACCCACTCAAAACACTGAACTCAACCCATGCCGCTTCACTCAGTTTATTTGCTAACACCAAAGAGTTCGCGTTTTATTTAGTCATGGTAGAATGGAGATAAACATACTGTGTTTTTAATGTAGAGCTAGGTTACCTGTAGATTTAACCGCGCTAAATTTAACATTTGAAACCTCACGCTGCGCGTTCGGTTCCAAATTCAATTTAGCGGGGTTAAATCTACAGGTAACCTAGCTCTACATTGAAAACACAGTATGTTTATCTCCTAATTCTAACCCGGATCTTCACGGGTCACACAGTTAAGTACGAGTACACGTCTACAAAATAAGAGGTAAATGTACGACTTGACACAACATGGGGTAAGCGCTGTCCATCTCAAGCAGGAAGTCATGTAAATAATGTGAGTTCACCGTAGCACATGAAGCATAATTTATATAATTTGGAAAGTTCTTACCCCTTTTAGCTAATATTTCGAACTGTACCTAACTAATACCATGGACCATAATCGTTTAAGTATACTGAACAACAAAAGTTCCTGTGACATTGAATGAGATTGAATGCAAAATTATGTTTTTTACCAAATCTGAAACAATTTCGGTTTGCAACAGATAAAAGACTCCTGTAAGTGTTCAAATGGTTTAATTTGCCATACTGATTTCAGAAAATGCGTGATTTCATAAAAAAAACCATGAACATGCCAAAATGTCAATTTACAAATCAATAGCGTGTATGTCCACCTCTGGTTGCGATGCAAGCAACACATCTTCCTCTCGTGGAATGGACCAGGCGTCGCACAAAGTCCTGTGGGATATCGGTCCATATCTGCTGGAGCATGTTTCGAAGTTCCTGGAGTGTCTGTGGAACACGTGGTTGACGTCGAAGGCGCCGATCCATCTCATCCAACATGTGCTCGATTGGTGAGAGATCAGAGAAGCGAGCCGGCCAGGGGATGCCATTCACGTTGTTTTGTTGAAGAGAATCCCGAACAAGTCGAGCAATATGAGGCCGGGCGTTGTCATGTTGAAAGGTAATGCCTGGGCCATGACGACGCAAAACACGGTAGAACAACAGGGCCGATGATCTCGTCGCGGTAGCGCTGTCCATTGAGATTTCCCTCTACCACTATCAAACGGGTCCTCTGTCTTGCTGTAATCCCGCCCCATACAATAACGCTGCCGCCCCCGAACCGATCTTCTTCCATGACACAATGATTGACGTAACGTCCACCTCAACGTCGGTACACTCGAATCCGTCCATCGCTGTGGCTGAGGTGAAAACGAGACTCGTCAGTGAATAGAACTTGTCCCCACTGCATGGCCGTCCAGCGTAGACGCTCTCTGCACCACTGTAGACGTGCTTGACGATGGTTTCCTGTCAAAATGGGACGTCGGGCATGAAAACTCACAGTGACACATACTATCTGCGTGACAGTATGGCAAGAGGGATGACTTTATCTTTCTAATAGTCACCTCTCCCCTTAAGCCGAGTAATGCCCTTGCAGTCCCAGCCTTCGTGACCAGGTTACTCAACTTTTGAGGATGATGGTACTACGAAGACTTCAAAGAGCGACTTATGACTCCGAAAGTTTGTTTGTTTTTTAATAAAAAAATTATTCCATTTTCCATCATATTTTACATTTCAATGTCATACATAGAGTGTGCATGGATTTGTTGTGACATTATTGGCATGTTTGTAGCATGGACAGATCAGATATCATAGTTATACAGAGTTTCTAAATAATACATGTAGAGAAGACCAGAAGGCATGGAAACTTGAATAATTACAATTTGAATATGCAATACATTTTGTAATTTCATAATATCGAAGTATTTCTTTTTGAAATAGTAAAAAGATTGGTGTGACTTTTTTCTTTTACATGTGTACAGCATAGATTTTGCCTCTTACGGCAAGCATGGGTTGCTGAAGACCTATTCTACCCCGGAATCTTCACGGGTCTGAAACTTGTGTGTTTTGTGTTAGTTTCCAACGTCAGAATGTGCTGTATTTTGAGTTTGGGATTTGTCGCGTGTGCTGTAGTACTTTGCTTAGCTGGTGTCTCTTGTCACCTGAGATGGGCCTACTGGCTCCATTTCTGTGCCCCGTCATTCCGCATGCGCCGCCGCTTCTCGGCCTAAAAGGTCGGCCTACTCAGAAACCGGAATATGGTAATTCCGTCTACGGATATTGTCTCCGATGACTACTCGGTAAAACAGGCAGGAATTTTTTTTTTTTTTTTTTTTTAAATTTCAGTTTCTTTCCTTACCTTTTTATGTTTTAGGGTTTCTCAAAATCTTGGATTTTTTCCCGATACGATAGTGAATCGGGTTTTAAACTACCGGGCAAAAGAAAGTTTTCACTTTCAAAATAGTTGTTTAAAAAGCAAAAAAGCTGGTACAGGTTTGAACCCCCGCAGAAAACATTCGCCCAAATGCAACATGACCAAAACCACAACGCAGATTTTCGAACGCAGCTTTCCAAATCATGCATTGTTGAAAACGTTCAGCACGTGATTTTGAGACATAAGTCCAAATGCACGTGCGTGATTGTGGCATAAATACCGACGTTGGACAGAGCAAGCAAAAAACAACCAAGAATATGGCCAGACTTACACAAGCGCAACGAGACTGAGCGATCGGTATGGCCAATATGGGGGCTACTCAACGTCAGATAGCCAGAACCTTCAACTGCTCCCAGACCACCATCAGCAAGTTGATAATCCGCTACCAACAGACAGGACAGACTCAAGACCGGCCAAGATCGGGAAGACCGAGACTGACAACACCGGCCGAAGTCCGCTACATCCGGCAGATTCACCTCCGAAACGTATGTGTGACGGCGACGTCAACGGCGGCAACAGCACTAGGGCATGCCATCAGCAGACGAACAGTCCTTCGACGACTTCGTACGGCTGGTATGTGAGCCTACCGACCCTTCCGTGGAATGGCCTTGACCCATCTACATCGTCAAAGCAGACTGCAATGGGCACGAACTGTACGTCCGTGGCAGCGACGTGACTGGGCGAGAGTGCTCTTTACAGATGAAAGTCGGTTCTGTCTGTTCAGGAACGATTGCAGAGTTCGAGTTTTTCGACAAAGGGGAGAGCGACTGGCGCCAAACTGCATTAGAAAAGTTCACCCGTTTGGAGGTGGAGGCGTCATGGTATGGGGTGGCATTTGTGGCTGGTTATCATCCGAGGAAACCTGAATGCTCAGCGATACAGGGATGAAGTGTTGAGACCTGTTGTTGTTTTTTATTCAACATCAGCCAAGAGGATTAATTTTGCAACAAGACAACGCAAGGCCTCACTACGCCTGAATTGTTCAAAACTACCTGAATAACGTTAACGTCAGCGTATTGCCCTGGCCACCTCGTTCTCCAGACATGAACCCCATTGAACATCTCTGGGATCATCTTGATCATCTTGAGACAACATGTACCGCCTCCAGCGAACCGACAGGAACTTGAACAGACTCTATTGAACTTATGGAACAGGATTCCTATTTACGTTATCCGCCGACTGACGACGTCAATGAGGAGGCGTGTGTTGGTGTGCATGGATGCCCAGGGTGGTCACACTCGCTATTGATGCCGTGTTACCTGACTACTGTGTCATTAATGGACTCTTCATGCACTTTTTAAAAGAACTCTGATTTGTGTAATTTGGAGCCCTTTGTGTATTGCGGAGAATGCAATATCGGCATTACAATGCATTTTCATTCTAATTCATGGAAAATGATTTCTGTTTAAAAATTAATCATCATAAATCTCACATATGCCTTTGTTTTTGGTGTTTAGTCAAGTGAAGTCGGTGAAAACTTTCTTTTGCCCGGTAGTGTTTGGGATTGATCAGGAGCAGTCGCTTTGATCTGTGTCAGCGGCCACATCTGTGCAGGGTACGCCATTCCCGAAAACAAGGCATCACAGTCAATATCGCTCAATAAATCAATTTCCTTCACCTCAGTAATTTTACAGAATTCATTTTCTTCACTTGCGTTATTAGTATTGAAAGATAGCCATTCCATATCCAAATCACCGCGAGGACAATCCATTTCATCTAGGCCTAGCAGCTGGACGACATTAAACACCAGAACCAAAGCATTTATTTATTTTTAAGTCAGACGAAATAACAAGAGAAAGGCAAAAATATTTCTGATAAATGCCCGGAAAAGGTCGGCCAACTCAGAAACCGAAATACTAGATTTCTAATTCCGTCCACGGATATTTTCTCGTCTCCGATGATCAATCGGTAAAACAGGCAAGTATTTTTTTAAATTATGTTTTATGGTTTCTCCAAATCTTAGATTTTTTCCCCGATGCGATAGTGAATCGTGGTTTAGTTTGGAATTGATCAGGAGCAGCCGCGTATTCTCTGTGTCTGCGGCCAAATCTGAGCAGGGTACTACATTATTTTCATTGTTGCTAGATTCCTGTCACTTCCGAAAACAAGGCATCAAAGTCAATATCGCTCAATAAATCAATTTCGTTCACCTCAGTAATTTTACAGAATTAATTTTCTATACTTGCATCATTAGTATTGAAAGACAGCCATTCCATATCCAAATCACCGTAAGGACAATCCATTTTGTTTCATGTAGCAGCTAGACGACATCAAACACCAGAACCAAAGCATTTACTTATAAGTCAGATGAAATGTTACAAGACCAGGCAAAAGTACTAAATCAATTATATTGCTGATAAATGCAGGGATTAAAAAGAACATAGAAAAACGAGTTGATCGTAAAAACCGTTCGAGAACTCGGGGAAACCCCGGAAAGTAGTTCCAGCAAAGGTTCACACGATCAATTTCACCAAAAAAAATTCACATCGTGTGAACTTTTTTTGTTCGTTCACAGGTGTATGAGCTCCAAATATCAGATCACGTGACTACCCATTCAGCCAATCAGCATGAAAGAAACAGTTTTAACTTCAAAGTATGAAATTATTACATAATGAACATATCCAATTTTCGATAATAACAGTTAGTACTCAAAATATTATGTATAACTTTAAACTGAAACCATCTTAATTCAGAACTTTGTGTACATCTTTTTGCCATAAGGTTAAAGTTTTTCCACTCTGTTTGGACTCATAAAAATTGTTGGATCAAGGTTAACCCATGTGGAGGATATTTCGAAATTTGAGGCATCACTGACATAAATGATGTCCGATGCAATTCCCTTTTTTGACATGTTCCAAATGCTCCCGTGTGTATTTTAGACTTGCCTTTGCATGTGTTTGTGACGGATGCCACAAGCGGGGCAGGACACCTTTTCTGGTATCATCACTATTTCATATTGATTCGTTTACACATACTTATGATATAGTCAGACACATAAAATGGATTCTGCTTTTAGGTGGCCCATTCGTCTAAGGTGCCGCGATTCGCTGTGCAGAGTTGCGTCCCTTGGGCACGCCAGAAACCTATGATTGTGGGTTCGAATTCCGGTTCGCCTCGATTATGTTTCTTGGTTTGTCAGCACCATACACGTGCTCGTGGGTTTCACCGAAGTGGTAAACGTCTGAGACCTGCATCTATTCGGGCTTTCCTCCCACATTAAGCTGACACGCCGTGATGTAACTGGAATACTGTTAAAAACGTCGTTAAACCCAACTCACTCACTCACACAGACAATATTATTCCAACAATCGTGACAGTGCATTTGTTAGTACAGCCAACAACCATGAACTTGTTTAGTTATTGTTTTGTTAAAATCTCAGAGTATGTTCATCACACAAAGCTTACAGATCGATACAAACCCTAACCTACTTAAACTACAATTGACAATCGACTTTTTCACGCTGGAAACCAACTAGAATTGGACCCGTCGTTATCGCACCAGATGACATCAAAAGTACTTATTATTGAATGTCGTACGCAAAAAACTATAACGATTCTTCCCAATAAGTCCCACGGTGCAAGATATTAGTTCGATATTGTGAAAAATGTCTTTATAAAAAGGGTTCAAACTTTCCTTAATCATGTTTCATGTGCTCGGGTGAAATCTCACTTTTTACTGTCCAGTGGTGAGGTGAGGTGAAATTGGGTTTAACGTCCAAGATTATAGCGACGTGCATGCACGTGTGTGTGTGTATGTAGCTGCTTGTACTAGACCGGACTGATGCCGATTTATAGTGCTAGCCCACTGAGATACCATGCCGCAGTTTAACATTAATACCCCACTCAGACACAGTATACTGACTCCGAGCCGACCAGTCCTTGCTTTAACCCCTTAATGCCGAGCGCCAGACAGGGTAACAACAAGTGCCATCTTTTAACGTCTTTTGGTATGACGCGGCCGGGGATCGAACCCCGGACCTTCCGCTCTCCGGGCGGACGCTCTACCACTAGACCACGGAGGCGGTCCTTCTGTCCAGTGAGACAATTGTAATTGCTACCTATCAACTTCCGGTTTGACATCGGCGCTTACCTTCTGTGTTTTCGATTCAGTTCTTTTTATTGTATTCAAGGCAATTGGCCAATATACAAAAGTACAAAACTTTAAATACTAGGCAATTGGCAATAGAGGTACATGTAATTAAAACGATGAAATGTTTAGCACAACAGACAAAAACGGTCTTCGGTTTCAGCAGGTTTTTTAATAACAAGGACTCTTTTATACGCCGGTACTACGAACACTTAACAAGGGCGTGGCCGAGACTGTGAGAGAGGCTATGGGCTGTTTCGGGCGTGACCCAGTGTGACTAGAGCTCGTACCCAGTGTGCTGGCCTTCTGAGCGGTGACTTGACTTGACAATATGCTGGGAACACCTGGTCAGAACTGCCCGATCTATAACCATCACCTGGTCATTAAATACAAGGACGCACGGAGGGTGTCTTCTTTCCTATTGCCATGGATCCGTAACTGTTTTCCTCCGATGATCACAATAAGCCCACCTGTCTACACAGCCTCTGGCCATACTGGATAGTGTTACAAATGGCGTTGTTAAACAATTGGTATTCTTGACAATAAGGCCAGTTTACAGATCTTCATTAGGCTATGATAAGGATCGTCTTTCACACATTAAAATACAACATGAATTCAGTGTACTTTTAGCACTTCATCTTTTTGGTATATTAATCATTTCTAATTTCATTATATAATGGACATTTTCATATGACATGAAATTCATCTTCAATAAATTTAATTTCTTCTGTGGGAAACATTTTGCCAACGACCTATATCTATTTGTTAACCTGCCCCACCAGTTCTCATTTGAGACCCGTGAAGATCCGGGGTGAGAATTGAATGGGTCTTCACCAACCCATGTTTGCCGTAAGAGGCGACTATGCTTGTCGTAAGAGGCGACTTACGGGATCAGGTGGTCAGGCTCGCTGACTTGGTTGATGCACGCCATCGATCCCAATTGCGTGGATTGATGCTCATGATATCAATCACTGGATTGTCTGGTCCAGTCTCGATTATTTACAGACCGCCGTCATAAAGCTTTAATATTGCTGAGTGCGGCGGTAAACAACAAACAAACAACAAAAGTTCTCATTTGAGCGAAAAACATTCTGTTGTACAAGGAATAGTTATTAAGCGAGTAATTTTCGTTTTTAGATATCGCTGCTTGCCATTCCTGACAGGAAATATCTCTTATTTGCAATTTTAGTTAATTTAAAGGGTATTTAATATCTCCGATATTGGTTGGTTGGTTTGTTGTGTTACGCCACACTCAGCAATATTCCAGCAATAGTCCCGTTCCAACCCTTGCCGAACTAGGCTGGTTTTATGGAGTTACAATTTAGCTGGACTAACGAGTCTATGCATAGTCCAATCAAAATCGCGCAACGAAATCGAAATCCGGTTCGTAAACTGTCATGCAGATTTCGGTGGATCGCAGGATTTGCAAAGCATGTGCACCGCCAACACGTTGTCAACAGGTATTTTCTAAATCTTTTTTATGTTTTTAATCAAGGTGCTCACGTGATTTGATGCAATTTGCGATTTAAGACTCGTTTTATCACAATATACATATCTTGATTATCGATCAGATCGTCTTGACTGGGCGCCGCCATTTTGTTTGAAGATAATGCAAGTGAGGTGAAATCTGATTGGTCCATAGGAGAGGCATAGAAGGGACATAACTCGTAACAACCACTGGTGTACCCTGTCCGGTAACTAAAGACACCACAACTAATAACATGTGTGGGTGTCAGGTTTGTACAAGTTGTCAGAAAGTAAACGAAAAGCCGTTTGTCTGAAGGAACTCGACAAAAGTCATAGAATGAAACGAAATGTGTTTGGTTAAGTATTCAATTGAATACAGGTTACTAATCACCTCGCTGGCGTGGTTGCTGCACACTACCGAGCCAATGCTGCACTGCAATGCACAATTGAAATAAATGCTAATATTTGTCAATATGTTATCTCCCATTTACCTATAACCAAACATTTAGGAGCGCATGAAACAGAATAAATCTAAACCTTGTCAGACACCATTCCACGGGTAATGGAATCTGTGTCATCTAAGAACAGCATTTACAGTAATTTCACACGTTATAAAGTACCTGAAAACACTGACCATATTCAAACACCTCTGTCATACATGGTCATAGTCACCTGCATGCTATTTTATTTCATGACCTGCGTAATAAATGCAATTGTTTGGCGCCAGATACGTTCATTTCAAACGTTGGTTGTGTGGACCTCAGCATAGACGTTCATTTCCCAGCATGCATAAATGTGAGAAATACTGTCCGTTCGTGTGGTGCTAGGTTAGTGCTGGAATGTTGCTGAGTGCGGCGTTAAACAACAAACCAACCAACCAACCAACTGGCGCCAGCTCATTATATATTAAAACGGCATCTGAGCATATCTAAGTCTTCGGACCCTGGTAGTGTATTGACTTTTACATCTACAGAGAATGGATCTATAAAAAACATTGATTATACGACAAAGACACGTTGAAATTCAGAGCAAATGAAAGTGGTTTCTGTTTTAAACAGCCGCACGTCGTGCTGAAAGAGAGCAATGAAGAGTCTGTAAGTAAGCAAACATCGTTTATAAGAACCACTGTAACAGGTGTAAAAGGAAAAAAACACTCTTAAACATTTAAGAACAATGAATAGCATCGGACTTTTAACACACGGCAGGTATTTCAAGATATCAAGATATTTGACATGAAGATCAAACTTATTCTTCTATACCGATCCGAACTGTGGGTTTGTCAAAGATTTTGTTGTACTAGGAACACAATTTTGAGCATGTGAAAGATTTTCATGAATATCACAACGTAGGCCAAACATTATGGCTGTTGGTGAATGTGGGAGATGCCCATTGGTTACCAGTAACAATTATTCATATGTCAAATTCTGTCTTCAACTAAAAAGCCTATGACATTTCATATCTCTTAGATTCTCAAAACAGATCACAGCACACATGAGAAGCCTCGACCCATAATTGCCAATTTCATAGAACGCGTTAAAAAAAGAAAGCGAGTAAGGAACTGATGAAAAAGCCATTTGGAGTGAGTGATGACTTCATATTGGCCTTCAGGAATTCTAGAGACAAACTTGTGTAAAAGCTCAAACATTACAGAAAGCAAGGTAAAAGGGCCACTATCGTATATCCGACCAGACTGGTGGTAGGGCAATGTTGTGTGTCAAATCCAAGTGTTTGCTGATAAACCCTGTATCACCACTCAATAGGACAAGTTGCCTAAGAGTATTTGGATCCTAACCTGGAATGTAAATGGATCTGTAAGTAGCAAGTTAGAGAATCCAGATTTCCGTGAATATACTCACGCGAAATGACATCATTTTGCTTAGTGGGACTTGGACAAATGAACACAGCAAAACAAGTTCTGAAGGGTATGAGTCATTCGAGTACACAGAGAGCGATCTGAAACGGGATTGTGGGGATTATGTGTATTGCTTATTTAGTAACACCATGCACATAATGATATTATGTTTTTTTGTTGTTTGGATGAGAGGGTGCTTATAATTTGTTTAAACAAAGACCTATAATTAATTTTGGTCTGTGTCATTCCTTCCAATTAAACACGGAAAGGAAATTTTGTTGGTATTGATACACCTGATCCAAGCGGATGATCTCACTGCTAAACATAGGCAGGATTGTGATCTATTTGTGGAGGGTGACCTCAATGCAATGACTGGAATTAAGACAGACTATGTTCAGTGTGAATCCTGTGTTAAAATACCTATTGAATACTCTCTAAAAAGGTTCAAATCTAAATATAGTAAACTACGGTTATAACGAACACGCTTATAACGAACTGACGGATATAACGAACTTACTTTTTTGGTCCCGACTATTTGCTGTTGTTATATTGTATATATGCTTATAACGAACTACGGTTATAACGAACTAGAATTAGTAGTCCCTTTGAGTTCGTTATAACCGTAGTTCGTTATAACCGTACTTTACTGTATATACCACTCAGAAGTAGGTTAAGAACCCCCGGTTCATTAATATGACAATCGTTAATCTGCCATGGCTGGTGGGTATTGCAACATACAGTCGTCAAAAGTGTGGGGGTTCCTGAACTTCATTTGAGTAGTATATGATGTCACAATCCAAATGTCATAGTACTGTTGACTGTAAATATTCGTTTTGATATTTGATTTATGATTAACTTGCATTGTGTCTCTTTTTTTATAAAAATCTACATGTTTGTGTTCTTGCATATGTTAGTTTGATAAACACCGATGTGAGTGCGTGAGTATGGTTTTTAGCAATATCAATTTAAAATAAGAAATCATGTAAGTGCTAAATATGACATGTACATGCATGCATGTTTTGTTATCATATCGGGAGACTTGGATTACTACCAATTTGGTCAATAATTGTTGACTCATTTCAAAAGATTTCCATTGATAAGGTACTCCCTAAGTTTAACCAAACCTCCATCATGCCATACTTACTTAATCATAAGGTTTACGTACATCATAGAATACAGCTCTAACGTCTTTACCGCCATCCAGTTAATTACAAACGGGTTAAAACACATTTATCAAAACAGCTGAGAGTGCGACAGGTCTATATTTTGCGCAATCCCCAACCAACTACCCTTCCTAGATGTCCTTGTCTCCAGAACCCCCAAAAACAGAATCCATGCCAGTGTTTACCGGAAACCCACCCACACCGACCAGTACATCCACTTCAACTCCAACCATCCCCCTAGAACAATGATTGGCATCATCTCTACCCTCACTAAACGGGCCATCAACCTTTCTTCGTCTGAATCGAGACCTGAGATCGAACACCTCCGCCAAATCTTCGCCCACCTTAACAATTATCCACCCTATCTTGTCGACAAAGTCATTTCCTCTAGATCTGCAACCCCTAAACCTGAATCAGCGCCCTTCCGCAACGCCCTCCCATTCATAGGAAAAGCCTCCCGCATCATCAGCCGCCTCTTCAAACAGCAAGCCAATATTGACACCTCACCAGTTCCACCTTCCTCAATATCCTACTAACAGCCAACAGCCCAAACACAGCCACAACTTAATAGCCTAAAGGTGTTCAAAAGTTCATAAAATTGACTGCAACTGTGGACAATCCTACGTAGTTTCACACATTCCACCCCATCAACACCAGAATCAAAGAGAACAAAACTTCAACCATCAAATCAGATGGTAAATAAGCCATCTCGGACCATATCAGCAACTGCCCCAATCACAACATCAATTAGGAAAATGTTCAAATCCTCTCCAACAACCTCCATGTCTTCACGAAAGGAAAACTACCAGAAGCAGTCCACATTCGCCGCCACAAGCCATCAATCAACAGAGATCAGGGCTGTTTCATCCCATCCCCTTTTTATGAACTTATTAATCAATGCTCACCACACCTCTGTAAATTCATCATGTTTACTTGGCTTTCTGTCTCATTGGCTTCCCCATCATGTGTTCTCTGTCCATCATGTTGTAATAGTATTACCCTTCTGTTGTCATAACCTTACCTACTCATGTTATCCTATCAATATCATTAAATCCAAAGCTAATGGCATATTTAACCTACAAATCAGTTTTATAGACCGAAGTATATCTTCACAAGTCGACTCAACACTATTGATACAATCGCTGTCAAGATTTACATGTGGCTGATATTAAATGATGATCAACATGGGCAGGCACAATGGTGTCGATCCAGAATGTCGCTTATGTAGATATTGTCTTCGATTAAATATTAGTTTTGGGGAAAATGAATATTATTTTACCCTGCTTTGAATGGCTTAGAAAAATCGATACATTGATCCTAAATACATGTACTTTGTAAATCCGTCACTGGAATCCTTTGTTCCCCTGATGTCTCCTAATCATTAACGTCCTATTGAACAGTTATCAAAATTCATATTTAATCCAATGAAATTGTATGAGTCACTTTATCAGTAATTGTATTCCTGTTATGTTATGTTTAATGGGCATGTGGACTCAAACTTGAAATAAAGGTGGCTGTGGGGTTATCCCACTAATGTATGCAATTGTTGTTACTGTTAATCCTCTACTGTTAACCCTCCACCTTCTATAAATATGCTGTACCATGTTCTTCATTCAGTCTTGCTTGACAACGGATTAAGGGTCGATATCGAAACGTCGCCTTGATTTGGTTTTTTGTTGTTGTTGTTGTTGTTTAACACCACACTCAGCAATATTCCAGCTATATGAAGGCGGTCTGTAAATAATCGAGTCTGGACCAGACAATCCAGTGTTTAATATCATGAGCATCGATCCACGCAATTGGGATCGATGACATGCATCAACCAAGTCAGCGAGCCTGACCACCCGATCCCGTTAGTTGCCTTTTTCGACAAGCATAGTCGCCTTTTACGGCAAGCATGGGTTGCTGAAGATCTATTCTACCCCGGAATCTTCACGGGTCTCGCCTTGATACTAATTGAGGTAGTTGTTTTCCATAAAGTGTGTCTACTTTGTCATCCGTCAACTTCTAAGTAATGCCTTTCAAACAATTCGATCATTAATACTATCAGCGCTAATTACTCCTCATTTTCTTTAGTAAACAGTTATTTGTAGTGCTATTTTGTCAACATCACTAGAATCGTTAATAATATTTTCCAGTTTATGCCTGATATGTCGTTATAGTCCTTCATTATCGGCGGGTTCATAATAATATATATGTTCCAATTTTGAGCTGATATTAAGTTAAACTTTTTTTTACCTTTACGAACATTGGACAATGGTCATTACAAAGGGATCCAGCTCGCCAGAACCTGAAACCAGATCCTGAAACCGGAACCTGAAACCAGAACCGGAAACCAGAATCGGAAACCAGAACCTGACACCAGATCCTGAAACCAGAACCGGAAACCAGAACCTGACACCAGATCCTGAAACCAGAACTCTCTCGTACTTTACCTTAAGCCTGTATTTCATCACATCAACCAGCATCGAAGATCAATATCAAGCAACAAACACAACAGCGAAGAAAAACGTAATACTTTATGGATAACAACTTCTGGTTTATTGCATAAAGCGACGTTTCGATGTAGATCCTTACTTGCATGATAAGGGGCGGTCGGGTGGCCTAGTGGTTAAAGCGTTCGCTCGTCACGCCGAAGACCCGGGTTCGATTCCCGACATGGGTACAATGTGTGAAGACCATTTCTGGTGTCCCCCGCCGTGATATTGCTGGAATATTGCTAAAGGCGGCGTAAAACCGTACTCACTCACTCACTTACTTGCATGATAAGTGTGTAAGAATCTACATGGAAATACAATAACCATAATTTGTTATCCATAACGTTGTACGTTTTCTTACTTACTCACCAACTGCTAGAATGCCAAACAAACAGTTAACAATAGAGCTGTCTGTATTCCAGTAGGAGGAAGACGGAACAATGACACGCACTCCCCATTCATGAATAAATGCATGTACAATGGATCTTGCATAGTATACACAGATTTTTCTTCTGTAATGTTATACAGTAGACAGGTTTTAAAGAAGAAACACAAATCAAGCAAAGTGAGTGAGTGAGTGTGGTTCTACGCCGCTTTTAGAAATATTCCAGCAATATCACGGCGGGGGACACCAGAAATGGGCTACACGTTGTACCCATGTTGCGAATCGAACCCGGGTCTTTCGCGTGACGAGCGAACGCTTTAACCACTAGGCTACCCGACTGCCCCGTCAAGCAAAGTAACCCAAAATAACATAAAGTGTTTATGAATCGAGTTGGATGCATCAAACGTCGAAGTGGATAAAGGACCAATAAATAAACATGTGTTAGGGCTAAGTCGCAATCAAAAGACGGTCCTGGGAAAAGATGATAGGTTATACACCTTTCAAAAGCTATACATGGAAACGGTAAACGTGGTATACAATTATTTCCAGATGTTCATGAAATTTTGTCACTGCTATTTGCAGATGACGTCATCCTTGTCTCAGAATCTATTGCGGGTTTACAGACCCAGCTTAACATCCTTCGTGGGTTTTCAGATGCATGGGGATTAACTGTTAACGTACAAAAATCAAACGCAGTTGTTTTCAGAAGGGGGGGGGGGGGGGGGGGGGGGGGGGGGGCATCCTATCTGCCAATGAGAAATGGACGTACAAAGACACCCCCTACCCTTAGTTTACAGTTATAAGAACTTAGGTGTGATATTTACTTCAACTTTCAAGATGACAAAGTGTATTGCTGATCCAACAAATCATGGAAAACGGGCTTTGATGGAAATAAATATCAATTTGGATAAAATAGGAATGATTAATCCAAAAGTGTATTTTTATAATATTTGATACACAGGCATTACAAATACTTTTATATGGGTCAGAAGTATCGGGTTACCAGCGGTATGATCAATTTGAACGAGTCCATCTTTTAATTTAAAAGTTTTTTAAAGGTGGGAAAACAAACGCCAAATGCCATTGTCTATGGTGAATGTTGTTGCTACCCGCTTTATGTCAATACCCAGGTCCGCATTATAATGTATTGGTTAAGATTAACCCGAATGCATGAAGGGCGTATCCCAAGAAAAGTATATAACATGTTGATGTATTCGACAACATTGGTCATAATTCTTGGGTTGCATCTGTTCGTAACATTTTATTTCGCATGGTTTGGGATTTGTATGGTTAAACCAGTCTGTTGGGGACAATATAGCTTTCATACGGGTATTTAAAACGTGCCTTGTAGATGAATTTCGTCAAAACTGGATGTCAACGCTCAACAGTAGTACCCGATATGTGATGTATAAAAAATATAAAACACTGTTTGAACCTGAAAGATATTTGAGCATTTACAATAGCAAACATGTACGCAGTGTTATTATACGACAGAACGAGGGTAGATGGCAATCTGTTGAACCATGTTTACGCATGTGTCCTGTTTGCAATATGTCTGTTGAAGATGAATATCATTTCGTATTGATCTGTTAACATTATATTGAGCTGCGTAAAGTTTATTTGCCAGAACTGTATTTGAAATTTCCAACTTTATATAAATTTGTGTACAACCGAGGATGAGTTATTAAAACGTCTGCAATATCATGTATATTATGCATACAAAAAAGACATAAAGTCGTAAGATCCATGTAATGTGCTTCACGTTGTATTATTGGCATTGCATTTCTTGTATATGGGCGAAAGGCCTACACACAAATAAACTAATTTTGACTTTTGACTTGACTACTCACCACCAATAGAAACCCTAAACATATAAACAATTAGAGAAGTATGTACGTTAAGAAGCGATGTTTCCAATGTGTAAAACTTAATGACAAAACTAACAATCAGCCAAGTGTTAGCAAGTGTTGACACAGAGTGAATTTTCAGTTACAGTAAACTACGTTTATAACGGACACGCTTATAACGAACTGACGGATATAGCGAACTTACTTTTTTGTCCCGACTATTTGCTGTAGTTATGCTGTATATATGCTTATAACGAACTACGGTTATAACGAACTAAAATAAGGGGTCCATTTGAGTTCATTATATCCGTAGTTTACTGTAGTTTACAACTCATGTCCATGTGTTTGTCGTTGTAAAATAATAGCTCTGATTTATTCGTGGTATATTACTGGCAAATCGATGGGTAATATAAACAATCGTCAACGGGGATTTTGCACGGTAATAAAAGAACCAAACAGGATAAACTTTTTTTTGTATTATTAAAGAATAATCCAGAATGATTTATCATGAATCCGAAATGATACGGAACCAAATAGAAACACACAAATATTACAAACTGTATTATGAAACAGCAATCTATTTTTCGAGTCGATTTACAATTCCGCCCATATCATGAACATGTGTTTATGAATTACTATCAAATAGTAATGACACCAGGTGTTCGCGAAAAGATGAGCTTATCCACCCGTCACAAACACATGCAAAGGCAAGTTAATTGTTCACCTGAATAAAACATGGTCACAATAAGGAATTGCATCGGACATTAAAAACTTGTATGAGTGTTTATATATTTTAGACCAATCTCCAAACGTGTACGCATATGGATTACATAACTGAATTCTGAACGTGATATGCCTACTCACTTTTCCTTTCTTCTGGACATATATTTATACATTATAATGTACAGGACCCTGTTGTACTTGAGCCAGTTGGTAGAGGCCACTGCCCAATTGTTGTAATCATACTAGAAAGGATCCCTAAATGTCATTCCTTATATCGTAAAGTGTATCATTATTCCTTAGCAGACCTAGATGGTTTAAACACCGACTTGTTGAATATTGATGGTGATTTATTATTCTCACCGTGATATGTGAAAACAATTGTTAATAAACTTCCGTCTCGGATGATAAATATTTTGGACTGCCATACTCCTAATAATTGTTACTATAAAATCAAAGAATCCAGTGGATCAATAATGTAATACGCTCATTTATAAGAAATCGCCAACATAAAATAACATTATTCCAACTGATTGGGCAAACATAAGGTTAATCTAAATTCGCGGATAATTCAGTCACTGGTTATTCTCTAAGAATGACAATTTATATTTTACTGGAACTGGGTCGACGTTTCTCCTGGTTTACAGGAGTCCCCAAGTACACTCACAAGCTACTTACGTACTCACCAACTGCTAGAATGCCAAACAAACAGTTAACAATAGAGCTGTCTGTATTCCAGTAGGAGGGAGACGGAACACTGACAAGCACTCCCCATTCATGAATAAATGCATGTACAATGGATTTTACATAGTACACAAAGGTTTATCTTCTGTAATGTTATACAGTAGACAGGTTTTAAAGAAGAAACACAAATCAAGCAAAGTGAGTTAGTGAGTATTGTTTTACGCCACTTTTAGCAATATTCCAGCAATATCACGGCGGGGGACACCAGAAATGGGCTTCACATTGTACACATGTCGGGAATCGAACCCGGGTCTTGCTGTCTTGCTTAACCAGGCCCTCAGCCTTATAAGGTTAATGAGGTCACATAAGCCTTGATGGCAAAGTCATCAGCATGTATGAGAAAGCAGCGTGAACACAATATTTCACACAGTGGAAACATCTAAGAAGATCTTGTTTTAGTACTAAAATCTATTGAAATCATTCCATTGATATCCGGAATGGGACATAACTTAAGGCATGAAAACGTTTGAAAATTTACAAAATTGTATATATTTCCCCTCCTAAGGAAACATCCATATTTGAAACCTTTGTAAACTTAGAAATGGGTCGGAAATTACAGCACCTGTTACAATTAAAAGAAATGCGCTGGAAATACCCTTGATCAAGTGTTTACTGGTGTATCTGAATTCATGGATTGAAATGTCTGCAAATCCGGTCCCAGCATTCATGACAATGGTGCTTGTGCATACGGCAATAATAGATGATCATATTTTTCAAAGGTGTATTTTGCATATCAGATAAACGCCCAAATGTAGATCATATCGGCAAATCCGGTCATTGCATGTATTTCAACTGTATTTGCAATTTTGCAAAATCCTTCTTTTCGTCCCGTGTAGCGTTTCAAGCAAGACGTTCCTTATCACATGTCACACAGTTTCAGAGACTGATGGATTCTGGTAGGAACGGGATGTCTGTGTTGGGGAATATTAATATTGCGATTTTATTGCTGCAAGTCCAAGCATTTCATTGTCAGTTATGTACAGATGAGCGTATCCTGCCGCTACCCGATTTCGATAATGTTGAAGTAAGAGAGTACGTCTTGTGGGAGGTATTCGCAGAGAAACTAGAGTGTTTAAGAAAATGTTACTATGATGTTCGTTGTCACAGCTTCCAGACTGTGGGGGGTTCTTCTGGTAGGTGCACGGGCCATGCTACGGCGTTCTCCAGCCCCGACAAGATCTACTCCCCCACCACTGTTTCGGCGGGAAACAGGATGTATCTACTACCACGAGGTAAGGACTTACATACTTCATTATAATAGGTTCCCGAGGTAGTGAGATGCGGGGTGTGAGGTACGGGGTGTAAGGTACGAGGGTGTGAGGAACGGGGTGTAAGGTGCGGGGTGTGAGGTGCGGGTTGTGAGGTACGGGGAGTGAGGTCCGGGAGTGAGGTACGGGGTGTGAGGTACGGGGAGTGAGGTCCGGGAGTGAGGTCCGGGTTGTGAGGTCCGGGAGTGAGGTACGGGGAGTGAGGTCCGGGGTGTGAGGTGCGGGTTGTGAGGTACGGGGTGTGAGGTGCGGGGTGTGAGGTACGGGGTGTGAGGTACGGGGAGTGAGGTACGGGGTGTGAGGTGCGGGGTGTGAGGTACGGGGAGTGAGGTACGGGGAGTGAGGTACGGGGTGTGAGGTGCGGGGTGTGAGGTACGGGGTGTGAGGTGCGGGGTGTGAGGTGCGGGGTGTGAGGTCCGGGGTGTGAGGGGTTGTGAGGTGCGGGGTGTGAGGTACGGGGTGTGAGGTGCGGGGTGTGAGGTGCGGGGTGTGAGGTACGGGTCGTGAGGTACGGGTTGTGAGGTGCGGGGTGTGAGGTACGGGGTGTGGGGTACGGGTTGTGAGTTACGGGTTGTGAGGTACGGGTTGTGAGGTACGGGTTGTGAGGTACGGGTTGTGAGGTACGGGTTTGGAGGTACGGTTTATGAGGTGCGGGTTGTGAGGTACGGGTGTGAGGTACGGGTTGTGAGGTACGGGTTGTGAGGTACGGGGTGTGAGGTACGGGTTGTGAGGTACGGGGTGTGAGGTACGGGTTGTGAGGTACGGGTTGTGAGGTGCGGGGTGTGAGGTACGGGTTGTGAGGTACGGGGTGTGAGGTACGGGGTGTGAGGTGCGGGTTGTGAGGTACGGGGTGTGAGGTACGGGTTGTGAGGTAGGTACGGGTTGTGAGGTATGGGTGATGAGGTACGGGTTGTGAGGTACGGGGTGAGAGGTACGAGGTGTGAGGTACGGGTTGTGAGGTACGGGTTGTGAGGTGCGGGTTGTGAGGTACGGGATGTGAGGTACGGTTGTGAGGTGCGGGTTGTGAGGTACGGGTTGTGAGGTACGGGTTGTGAGGTGCGGGGTGTGAGGTACGGGGTGTGAGGTGCGGGTTGTGAGGTACGGGGTGTGAGGTACGGGGTGTGAGGTATGGGTTGTGAGGTACGGGGTGTGAGGTGCGGGTTGTGAGGTACGCGTAGTGAGGTACGGGTTGTGAGGTAAGGGTTGTGAGGTGCGGGTTGTGAGGTACGGGTTGTGAGGTACGGATTGTGAGGTACGGGTTGTGAGGTAAGGGTTGTGAGGTAAGGGTTGTGAGGTACGGGTGTGAGGTACGGGGTGTGAGATGCGGTGTGTGATGTACGGGTTGTGAGGTGCGGTGTGTGATGTACGGGTTGTGAGGTACGGGGTGTGAGGTGCGTTGTGTGAGGTACGAGGTGTGAGGTATGGGGTGTGATGTATGGGGTGTCGTGAGGTTTGGTGTGTGAGTTATGGTGTGTGAGGTATGGGGTGTCAGGTGCGGTGTGTGAGTTACGGTGTGTGAGGTATGGGGTGTCAGGTGCGGTGTGTGAGTAACGGTGTGTGAGGTATGGGGTGTGAGGTGCTGTGTTTCAGAAGCGGTGTGTGAGGTATGGGGTGTGAGGTATGGGGTGTGAGGTACGAGGTGTGAGGTGCGGTGTGTGAGTTACGGCGTGTGAGGTATGGGGTGTGAGGTGCGGTGTGTGAGTTACGGTGTATGAGGTGTGAGGTGCGGGGTGTCAGGTGCGGTGTGTGAGTTACGGCGTATGAGGTATGGGGTGTGAGGTGCTGTGTGTGAGTTACGGCGTGTGAGGTATGGGGTGTGAGGTATTGGGTGTGAGGTACGAGGTGTGAGGTGCGGTGTGTGAGTTACGGTGTATGAGGTATGGGGTGTGAGGTGCGGTGTGTGAGTTACGGTGTATGAGGTATGAGGTGTGAGGTGCGGGGTGTCAGGTGCGGTGTGTGAGTTACGGTGTATGAATCATAGGGTGTGAGGTACGATGTGTGAGTTACGGCGTGTGAGTTACGGCGTGTGAGGTACGGGGTGTGAGGTGCGGTGTGTGAGATGCTGTGTGTGAGGTTCCGGTGTGAGGTATGAGTTGTGAGGTACGGGGTGTCAGGTGCGGTGTGTGAAGTACGGGACGTGAGTTGCATTTTACGAAGGTGAACGCAAATAGTTTGCACATAAGGGCCGTGGTGTGTATGCTAGCTTTCGTAGGTGGCAATTGACTTCGAATGACAATAGGTTTAATGCTGTAAGTATAATATTATTCAATAACATTAAGTAAAACAACATTAACAACGGCACGGTCAAGTCAACACACATGCGATATGTCTGAACGACCAGCGTGTGTGGGATTCCAATATTCCGTTTAGATATAAGCCTTTGGGCAGATGTTGATGTTTTGAGGGCAAATCCGTCCTTCCATTTTGAACCAAAGTGGAATTCTTTGAGACCTGCAGCACTTTGGACCTTCAACAAAAAGCTGTGTTACTGACAATCTATTCTAAGCAGGAGCGGTGGGAAGCTAGTCGTCGCGCCGAAGACTCGGGTTCGCTGCCCTCATCGGTAAAACATGAGAATTGTATTTCTGGTGTCCTGCGTTGATGAAATACTGCTAAAACATACTCACTCACTCATTTCTCAAAGCAAAGTTAGTGAGTGAGTATAGTTTTACGCCGCTTTTAGCGATATTCCAGCAATATCAAGGCGGGGGACACCAGAAATTGGCTTCACACTCTTTACCCATGTCGGGAATCGAACCCGGGTCTTCGGGACGAGCGAACGCTTTAACCACTAGGCTACCCGACCGACCCTAAAGCAAAGTTAAACCCAAATCACAATGATGGTGGTTGTGTTTCAGGTTTTCACTACGTTGGCAGTGCATGTACTAGTGATGGCGACTGTACGCTTGAAAACACCTCGTGCAATGATGGAACTTGCAACTGTGACATTGGAATCATGTTTTCAATTGGGAAGAGAGCGTGTGTGACAGGTAATGTTAAAGGTGCACATCAGGAAGGAGAGCGTGTGTGACAGGTAATGTTAAAGCTGCACGTCAGGAAGGAGAGTGTGTGTGACAGGTAATGTTAAAGGTACACGTCGGGAAGGAGAGTGTGTGTGACAGGTAATGTTAAAGGTACACGCCAGGAAGGAGAGCGTGTGTGACAAGTAATGTTAAAGGTACACGTCAGGAAGGAGAGCGTGTGTGACAGGTAATGTTAAAGGTGCATGTCAGGAAGGAGAACGTGTGTGACAGGTAATGTTAAAGGTGCACTTCAGGAAGGAGAGTGTATGTGACAGGTAATGTTAAAGGTGCACGTCAGGAAGGAGTGTATGTGTAACAGGTAATGTTAAAGGCGAACGTCAGGAAGGAGAGCATGTGTGAAGGTAATGTTAAAGGTACACGTCAGGAAGGAGAGCATGTATGAAGGTAATGTGAAAGGTGCATGTCAGGAAGGAGAGCACGTGTGACAGGCAATGTTAAAGGTGCACGTCAACAGAAAGGAGAGCGTGTGTGACAGGTAATGTTAAAGGTGCATGTCAGGAAGGAGGGCGTGTGTGACAGGTAATGTTAAAGGTGCACGTCAACAGAAAGGGGGCGTGTGTGACAGGTAATGTTAAAGGTACACGTCAACAGAAAGGAGAGCGTGTGTGACAGGTAATGTTAAAGGTGCATGTCAGGAAGGAGAGCGTGTGTGACAGGTTATGTTAAAGGTACACGTCAGGAAGGAGAGCGTGTGTGACAGGTAATGTTAAAGGTGCATGTCAGGAAGGAGAGCGTGTGTGACAGGTAATGTTAAAGGTGCATGTCAGGAAGGAGGGCGTGTGTGACAGGCAATGTTAAAGGTGCACGTCAACAGAAAGGAGAGCGTGTGTGACAGGTAATGTTAAAGGTGCACGTCAACAGAAAAGAGAGCGTGTGTGACAGGTAATGTTAAAGGTGCACGTCAACAGAAAGGAGAGCGTGTGTGACAAGTAATGTTAAAGGTGCACGTCAACAGAAAGGAGAGCGTGTGTGACAGGTAATGTTAAAGGTGCATGTCAGGAAGGAGGGCGTGTGTGACAGGCAATGTTAAAGGTGCACGTCAACAGAAAGGAGAGCGTGTGTGACAGGTAATGTTAAAGGTGCACGTCAACAGAAAGGAGAGCGTGTGTGACAGGTAATGTTAAAGGTGCATGTCAGGAAGGAGAGCGTGTGTGACAGGTTATGTTAAAGGTACACGTCAGGAAGGAGAGCGTGTGTGACAGGTAATGTTAAAGGTGCATGTCAGGAAGGAGGGCGTGTGTGACAGGCAATGTTAAAGGTGCACGTCAACAGAAAGGAGAGCGTGTGTGACAAGTAATGTTAAAGGTGCACGTCAACAGAAAGGAGAGCGTGTTTGACAGGTTATGTTAAAGGTGCATGTCAGGAAGGAGGGCGTGTGTGACAGGCAATGTTAAAGGTGCACGTCAACAGAAAGGAGAGCGTGTGTGACAGGTAATGTTAAAGGTGCACGTCAACAGAAAGGAGAGCGTGTGTGACAGGTAATGTTAAAGGTGCATGTCAGGAAGGAGAGCGTGTGTGACAGGTTATGTTAAAGGTACACGTCAGGAAGGAGAGCGTGTGTGACAGGTAATGTTAAAGGTGCATGTCAGGAAGGACAGCGTGTGTGACAGGTAATGTTAAAGGTGCATGTCAGGAAGGACAGCGTGTGTGACAGGTAATGTTAAAACTGTATACTGAAAGTGTTACCCTACTGTAAACTGTAAGTGTTACATGTACTATTTCCCGGAAGTGTTACCACTACTGTATATCGGAAGCGTCCTTCTTCTTTGTTAGCACCATACCCGTGCTCGTGGATTTCACCGAAGTGGTAAACGTCGGAGACCTGCGTCACTTCGGGCTTTCCTCCCACATTAAGCTGACACGCCGCGAGATAACTGGAATACTGTTAAAAGCGTTAAACCCAACTCACTCACTCACTCTTACACCGTAAGTGCCTCTCCTTCTATAAACGTGAAGTGCAGTGTTTGTTATCAGTGTATTAAGAGTGTGTCTCTTCGACAGGTTGCACCGAGTGGGGAAACGAAGCTGTACGATATTTGAAACATTCCATATCTGGCTACAATGATGTTACCCTGACTGGGGTAACCGAGGCTGAATGCCGTCAACGCTGCCTCGCCGCGAACACAAGCACCTTCACCTGTACCACAGCGGACCACCTAAAAAGTGCCTGCTACTTGTCCAGCGCTACCTTTCTGTCCGTTCCAGAAAGCAACCGTAAGGTTGGCACAGCTTATACCCATTACCAGCGCACTTGCTTGTAAATTCACCTTAAGATGTTGTTCATTTATGTAACCAACGTGCCTGTGTAAACTGTGACAAGTTGTCTGTGTGTCAACCTTTGACTTTTAGAAAAGCCTAATGGTGCAACTTTGGTAGCATATATAATTATTTTATAAATCGACATTCCTCGTTATTTCAATTATATGTTTATTTTCTCGAAAGTTCGAGTTTTTCTCGTTATCTCGATTATATTTTCGTGAGTTCAGTTTTAATTTCATGTTTATTTCCCTTCAAATTTCGATTTTTTTCTGGTTACTTTGATTGTGCTCTCCTTAATTCGATTATTTTCTCGTTATTTCAAGTTTATTTCAAAAACACGAAATTTCGAATTTTGTTCTCGTTCTTTCAACTATTTTCTCTGAATAACGATTATTTTCTCGTAATTTCAATCATTTTCTCGAAATTTCAAGTTTGAAAATAAACTTGAAAAAACAGGAAATGATCGAAATTACGAGAAATTATCGAAGTAACGAGAAAGAAATCGAAGTTTTGAAAAAGATAACTGAATAAAGGATTTAAAAAAACAACACATTCCTGCTACCAAAGTGGCACCACTAGGCTTTCGAAGGAATTTAGTAACCTACTTTATGTGTGAAAGCTTGCAAGCTGTGGGTGTCAACCTTTGACTTATGTGTATTCAGTCTATCAATGCAGAGTTGCATCTTTTGGGCGTGCCAAAACGTTAAGAAGTGTAGTCAGATGTACACACAGCGACAAAACGAAACAAGGTAACAATTCAAACATATTTCTGCCAAATCCAACTATTTAATTTGTGGAGAAAGGTTCAAGCCGCAGAGGTCTACAAGCACAGATATGGCTACTGATCCCGCTTGGCTAGGCCTCGTGCCCTCGCAAAATTGTGTCGAAATTTATATCTCCAAAGTTGCCAAAACTTATAACATGCCTTAGCTACGTCACAGTAAGACATTGATTTTCAGTATATTAGACTGTTCTTTTGATAATGAAAGCAATTATCTCTGTAGTTTATCCAGATTCCCAAAGGTTAATTCTGACTCGATTGTCGAATGACAAGGGCGACTCCATGATTGTTTATTTTAAGTGAAAGTAGTCCCTACTTGACCTTTCATATTTGCATCTCTATCCGCATATGACCCCTACGGATATCGTTTTTATCCGTTGGCTTTATCCTGCCGAGAAACCTACCCATTATATGATAAACATTTATCTCTCCCCATTCTTATGCATTTTTAACTATGTATTTTAGTTATTGTATGTTGATGTGTGATAGTTAAATAAACGTTTTATCCCTCCCCATTCAAACGTTTTACTTAAATAAGGCATTTTGTTTGTGTTGATGTGTGATACTTTAATAAACATTTATCTCTCCCCATTCTTATGCATTTTTAACTATGTATTTTAGTTATTATATGTTGATGTGTGATAGTTGAATAAACATTTATCTCTCCCCATTCCAACGTTTTATTTAAATAATGTATTTTGTTTGTGTTGATGTGTGATATTTAAATAAACATTTATTTCTACCGATACTGATGCCTTTTTAAACTATGTATTTTAGTTATAATATGTTGATGTGTGATAGTTAAATAAACATTTATCTCTCCCCATTCAAACGTTTTATTTAAATAATGTATTTTGTTTGTGTTGATGTGTGATACTTAAATAAACATTTATCTCTCCCCATTCTAATGTTTTTTTTAACTATGTATTTTAATTATTATATGTTGATGTGTGAAAGTTAAATAAACGTTTTATCTCTCACCTTTCTAACGTTTTATTTAAATAATGTATTTTGTTTGTGTTGATGTGTGATATTTAAATAAACATTTATTTCTACCGATACTGATGCCTTTTTAAACTATGTATTTTAGTTATTATATGTTGATGTGTGATAGTAAAATAAACATTTATCTCTCCCCATTCCAACGTTTTATTTAAATAATGTATTTTGTTTGTGTTGATGTGTGATACTTAAATAAACATTTATCTCTCCCTATTCTTATGCATTTTTAACTATGTATTTTAATTATTATATGTTGATTTGTGATAGTTGAATAAACGTTTTATCTCTCCCAATCCCAACGTTTTATTTAAATAACGTATTTTGTTTGTGTTGATGTGTGATATTTAAATAAACATTTATTTCTACCGATACTGATGCCTTTTTAAACTATGTATTTTAGTTATTATATGTTGATGTGTGATAGTTAAATAAACATTTATCTCTCCCCATTCCAACGTTTTATTTAAATAATGTATTTTGTTTGTGTTGATGTGTGATACTTAAACAAACATTTATCTCTCCCCATTCTTATGTTTTTTTAACTATGTATTTTAATTATTATATGTTGATGTGTGAAAGTTAAATAAACGTTTTATCTCTCACCTTTCTAACGTTTTATTTAAATAATGTATTTCGTTTGTGTTGATGTGTGATACTTAAATAAACATTTTTCTCTCCCCATTCTTATGTTTTTTTAACTATGTATTTTAATTATTATATGTTGATGTGTGAAAGTTAAATAAACGTTTTATCTCTCACCTTTCTAACGTTTTATTTAAATAATGTATTTCGTTTGTGTTGATGTGTGATACTTAAATAAACATTTTTCTCTCCCTATTCTAATGTTTTTTTTAACTATGTATTTTAGTTATTATATGTTGATGTGTGAAAGTTAAATAAACGTTTAATCCCTCCCCATTCAAACGTTTTACTTAAATAATGTATTTTGTTTGTGTTGATGTGTGATACTTTAATAAACATTTATCTCTCCCCATTCTTATGCATTTTTAACTATGTATTTTAGTTATTATATGTTGATGTGTGATAGTTGAATAAACATTTATCTCTCCCCATTCCAACGTTTTATTTAAATAACGTATTTTGTTTGTGTTGATGTGTGATATTTAAATAAACATTTATTTCTACCGATACTGATGCCTTTTTAAACTATGTATTTTAGTTATTATATGTTGATGTGTGATAGTTAAATAAACGTTTTATCTCTCACCTTTCTAACGTTTTATTTAAATAATGTATTTTGTTTGTGTTGATGTGTGATACTTAAATAAACATTTATCTCTCCCCATTCTTATGTTTTTTTAACTATGTATTTTAATTATTATATGTTGATGTGTGAAAGTTAAATAAACGTTTTATCTCTCACCTTTCTAACGTTTTATTTAAATAATGTATTTCGTTTGTGTTGATGTGTGATACTTTAATAAACATTTATCTCTCCCCATTCTTATGCATTTTTAACTATGTATTTTAGTTATTATATGTTGATGTGTGATAGTTGAATAAACGTTTTATCTCTCCCCATTCCAACGTTTTATTTAAATAATGTATTTTGTTTGTGTTGATGTGTGATATTTAAATAAACATTTATTTCTACCGATACTGATGCCTTTTTAAACTATGTATTTTAGTTATAATATGTTGATGTGTGATAGTTAAATAAACATTTATCTCTCCCTATTCTTATGCATTTTTAACTATGTATTTTAATTATTATATGTTGATTTGTGATAGTTGAATAAACGTTTTATCTCTCCCCATCCCAACGTTTTATTTAAATAATGTATTTTGTTTGTGTTGATGTGTGATATTTAAATAAACATTTATTTCTACCGATACTGATGCCTTTTTAAACTATGTATTTTAGTTATTATATGTTGATGTGTGATAGTAAAATAAACATTTATCTCTCCCCATTCCAACGTTTTATTTAAATAATGTATTTTGATGGGGTTGATGTGTGATACTTAAATAAACATTTATCTCTCCCCATTCTAATGTTTTTTTAACTATGTATTTTAATTATTATATGTTGATGTGTGAAAGTTAAATAAACGTTTTATCTCTCACCTTTCTAACGTTTTATTTAAATAATGTATTTTGTTTGTGTTGATGTGTGATACTTAAATAAACATTTATCTCTCCCCATTCTTATGTTTTTTTAACTATGTATTTTAATTATTATATGTTGATGTGTGAAAGTTAAATAAACGTTTTATCTCTCACCTTTCTAACGTTTTATTTAAATAATGTATTTCGTTTGTGTTGATGTGTGATACTTAAATAAACATTTATCTCTCCCCATTCTAATGTTTTTTTTAACTATGTATTTTAGTTATTATATGTTGATGTGTGAAAGTTAAATAAACGTTTTATCCCTCCCCATTCTAACGTTATATTTAACTAAGGTATTTTGTTTGTGTTGATGTGTGATACTTAAATAAACATTTATCTCTCCCCATTCTTATGTTTTTTAACTATGTATTTTAGTTATTATATGTTGATGTGTGATAGTCAAATAAACATTTCGCAGTCCCTGTTCTAATGCGTTTCTTCATAATGTATTTTATTTATGTCTTGATGTGTGACACTTCAATAAACATTTTAACTCTCCACATTCTAAGTAACTACACTCTTCAAAAACAAAAGAAACGCACGGGTAGATATTTTGTAAATTTATTGTACCTAATAAAGTCGATACATTTAATTTAATATCGCAGATACAAATATGAAATTTTGGAGCTCGATAATCACATATTGTCGTGGTACAAAGGCATTGAAAACTGTTCTTTGTCATGTCACATAAGAACACAAGGTTGCGCTGAACTCAGCATCTCGTGTGACCGCCCCGGGCAGCAATCACGGCTCTGCATCTCCTCGGCACTGACTGGATAAGTGTACGAATTCTGTCCTGCGGAATTCTGCGCCATTCTGTTTGTCACGCGTTGGCCAGTTGTGGGAGTGTCTGCGGTGTGTTTTGACGTTGACGTACACGTCGATCGAGTACATCCCAGAGGTGTTCGATTGGGTTGAGATCTGGAGATCTCGACGGCCAGGGCAAGAGGTTGATGTTGGCATTATGAAGGTAGTCTACCGTAATACGAGCTGTGTGCGGTGGAGCGTTGTCCTGTTGAAACAGCTCCCTCTGGCGGTCAATGATTGGAAGAAGGAAAGGATGAAGAATTTGATTCATCTAGCGATATTCTGTCAATTTTCCCTGAACCACAACGAAGTCAGATCCCCCATGACACTACCTCCACCAAAATCGTCGAATTCACGTACACAATGTAGGGCAAAACGCTCATTTCGACGACGATAAACACGTTGTCTTCCATCTCGCCGGGGAAGAAGAAATCGTGATTCATCGCTAAACCACACTCGTCTCCAGTTTCTCAAATTCCAAGTCTGTAAGGTATGGCACCAACGCAAGCGTCGCTGTCGATGGATCTGTTGCAACACAGGGACACTAACTGGTCTTCTGGGTCGGATTCCAGCTTTGCGAAGATGGTTCCTGACAGTCTGGTCCGATATCGTCTTCAAACCAAGGATGCGTCCTGCATCTTCGCAGCTGTGGCATTGCGATGACGTATGTGGAACAGTCGAATATAGCGATCCTATGTAGGGGTGGTAACTCTTGGTCTGCAGTGGAATTTAGCTGTGTGTATCGGTCCCAAAGGCGGCAAATGGCGCTGTGGCGGACGTGGAACTGGCGCGCGATGAAGACTGCGATTCCCCTCAAGATGAGACAGTGAGCCTGACCTCCCGATCCCGTTATTCGCCTCCCACCAGAGTGAGTGAGTGAGTGAGTAAGTATTGTTTTACGCCGCTTATTGCAATATTCCAGCAATATCACGGCGGGGGACACCAGAAATGGGCTTCACAGATTGTACCCATGTCGGGAATCGAACCCGGGTCTTCGGCGTGACGAGCGAACGCTTTAACCACTAGGCTACCCGACCGCCCCCTCCCACCAGAGGCATAATCGCCTTTTACGGCAAGCATGGGTTGTCGAAGACCTTTTCTCAACCCGGATCTTCAAGGCCCGCACTGCACTTGTTGAAATCTTATGGTACGTTATGCGTAGAGCTTTATGGCAATATGAGTGAGTGAGTATGGTTTTACGCCGCTTTTAGCAATATTCCAGCAATATCACGGCGGGGGACACCAGAAATTGGCTTCACACATTGTACCCATGTCGGGAATCGAATCCGGGTCTTCGGCGTGACGAACGAACGCTTTAACCACTAGGCTACCAGACCGCCCCTATGACAATATGAAGCAAAAGAAATAACTCTATAACTTCTTTTTTGAAACTCCATTCACTAATAAAGAGGTTCCTGGAACTATTCAACATGAAATGATTGAAAGATGTGTTGTAGCGATTTGAAATGTATGACGGTAATCACAATAATAACGATTCATTCTGTGGCATTTGGTGATATATTTGGTGTACCTTCATAACTTAAGTCTTACAAACCAAGCCACGCCCTCACTTGTGGAACGTTACAACAATACGATATTGTCGGTGTCGATGTAATTTTCGATGAAAATGAGGTGTCGTTTAGCTGGAACTTGGCCTGATTCTACAAACCGGACTAAGCGCTAAGGTGATCGTAGCTCCGTTACTTTAACATAGGCTTACGGTCGTCGTAGCGCTAAGGTGATCGTAGGTTCCATACTTAACATAAGCTTACGGTCGTTGTCGCACTTAAGTGATCGTAACTCCCATACTTTAACATAGGCTTACATAGATAACCATCACATTGTTTGATTGTATACTTTCTTTTGCCGGTAATTTATATTTCTATTTTTTAACGTGGAGATCAGTTGTTGTCTTTTGTCTCAATATTATATTCGTTTGATCTAAACTGAGGAACAAAAGAAACAATACCTCTCAATTGAGTTTATACTTACTTACTTATATTGGAGATTTTACGTGCGCTTTCCGACTGCAGCGTATTTCGCACACGGTTGAGTTTATCGTGTGTTTGATTTTCAATTGAAAATATCCGAAGTTAGCGATATTATATGAACTGTACCGGCGCTTAGTCAGCATTTAAAGAATACTTCCAGGTGGCTTTAGTTTTGAAAATATAATTTGATTTGAAACCCTGTGTAACTCGTGAAGTACTCGTGTGCAACCTCTGTGCAAGCGCCCTCTGTGCAACTCGTGAAGCACCCGTGTGCCACCCATGTGAAGCACCCTCTGTGCAACTCGTGAAGCAATCGTGTGCCACCCATGGGAAAGCACCCTCTGTGTAACTCGTGAAGCACCCGTGTGCCACACCTGTGCAAGCACCCTCTGTGCAACTCGTGAAGCAATCGTATGCCACCCATGTGAAGCACCCTCTGTGCAACTCGTGCAGCAATCGTGTGCCACCCATGTGCAAGAACCCTCTGTGCAACTCGTGAAGCAATCGTTTGCCACCCCTGTACAAGCATCCTCTGTGTGACCCGTGAAGCACCCGTGTGCCACCCCTGTGCAAGCACCCTCTGTGCAACTCATGAAGCAATCGTGTGCCACCCATGTGCAAGCACCCACTGTGCAACTCGTGAAGCAATAGTATGCCACCCATGTGCAAGCACCCTCTGTGCAACTCGTGAAGCAATCGTGTGCCACCAATGTGCAAGCACCCTGTGTGCAACTCGTGAAGCACTTGTGTGCAATTCATGTGCTTCGCGCGAAGAACACGTGGACCTTGCGGAGAGCAATGAGCGTGAAGGCTGCAACGTAAAGCAATATTACACAGGTATGTCAGGACATTCCAGGAACATATTCAATCACCTCAGTAATCAATCAATCTACGAGAGGTAAGCAGGCTAAACATAGAACTATAAAACCTGTTCACTGACGAACCTTTATGGCGGACAGTAGGCAAATAAACCAGAATGCGTCCGATTAATGGTGCATATCTTTTAGAGGGACCAGCCTTGGGAAAAACATGATTATGTTAACCTGGTTCCCCTGTTGGTTCGCGTTCGGCGCTGTATAACCGGATATATATATATATATATATATATATATATATATATATATATATATATATATATATACGGCGCTGTATATTATTGTATACTCCCCATGGAGTTGAGAATGATGATTGGAATGCAACGGATCCACTGATCGGGAAACAAATGAAACCGTATTTGAACAGATACTTGTACCTGGTTGCCTGTGGAATATAACAACAACAACAACAACAACAACAACAACAACAACAACAACAATAATAATAATAATAATGATAATAAAAATAATAACAACAACTATAAGACACTTCTCTACTGATGTCATTGGTGTTCATAATCCGCCATTTGCTTTCATTCAACGCCGAGGACCAATGAACGTTGGGCTTACTGTCGTCCAATCGCAGCCTACGAGGAATTGGTACGACTCGCTTTGGGAGACAGAAGCCCAGTCAAACTTTCTTCTTGCAAACTGGCCTTGGAGTAATTATAGGTAGGCAACAACTCCATACAGCGTCAATTCCGTGCTGCCACGCAATGAAAACGCCTATGGGAGCAGTGCTGAGAGCGCTGGTGTTTTCAGTCCTCGCCGAATCAGGTAGGCTATAATATTATCTATGGGTGAGAGGGCATTACGTGAAATCTTTGGATAAAAAGTACCTTTAATGTTCTTGCACAATCTCAGCATATCCTCGTATATTCCAGGGTCTTAGGTGTTTTGTAGCTGACTGTTCCCCTAAACACGTTTGTTTATGTACTAAACAAAAACACTTCAGGATCATGAATATTTTGATGGCTATTTTAAAGACTCAGTTTATTTGAATGTGTACGGTACATAAAAGTAGATATGATCGCTAACATTTTTGGTTCAATGGAGTAAGTGATGCATTTTTTGGCACCCGGGAGATGTCAGCGTTGACGTGGCGGGAGAGGCACATTTGGAGCCAACATGAACGTATTGTACAGGAAAAATGGGGCGAATTTTTTTTTCAAGATCGTAACATGCCTGGGTCAAACAGTCTGTTATCACTTTAATTTTCAGAAAATATCTGTCAGTCATATTATATGTGTTTATACGTATTTAACTTATGTTGTATATGACAATTGCGCCTATATCCACGCGTTAACCTTAAAATCTTGATCACAATATGCATTGCTGTCAGCCGTGCCTCTTGACAAAATCCCCTATACATATCAATCAATTATTACTTTGAAGTAAATGACTTGTTTGTTAAGAATCCCGTTCACTCATGTACTGCCCCAGGATGTAAATAGCGGGATCTGATTTCTAAAAATATACAACACAAAGAAGAAGTGTACGTAACAGAAATGATTATATCATCATAAATCGAAGCTGTCACATGAATCCGACTTTGTTTTTTATCACTTTGGCAAAGGAGGTCAAGAAACTGTATAATGTGAGGTGAGGTGAAATTAGGTTTGAGTGAGTGAGTGAGTATGGTTTTACGCCGCTTTTAGCAATATTCTAGCAATATCACGGCGGGGGACACCAGAAATGGGCTTCACACATTGTACCCATGTCGGGAATCGAACCCGGGTCTTTGGCGTGACGATCGAACGCTTTAACCACTAGGCTACCCGACCGCCCCTTACTTAGGTTTGATGTCGCGTTGTACTTATATAGCGACATGCATGCAGATGTGCATGTGTTTGTTTGTATGTGTGCATGTGTTTGTGCGTCTGCTTGTTCTAGAAATTCTAATAGCTATTTTATAGTGCTAGCCTAGAGAGATACCATGCCGCAGTTCAGCTTGGAAACCCAACTCACACACAGGCAGGGTAACAACAAGTCACATCACATCTATCCACTACGACACGGAGGCTCTCTCTCTCTCTCTCTCTCTCTCTCTCTCTCTCTCTCTCTCTCTCTCTCTCTCACACACACACACACACACACACACACACACACACACACACACACACACACACACACACATGCACGTATTTATATAAGTAGAATAATCATGGACACGACGTTAAACCCAATTTCACCTCACCCCGCTTCGTGCAGTGTTTGAAAAGAATCGGCAATGACATTTGATGTTCTGGAATGTATTTAGCTCGAAAGGCAATTTTTTTTTAAATACTTCATCAAAAGGGGGACTTAGACGTCGGCTTGTTGATAGATGATCTGACATTTATACAATCGGCCTTAACATTAACCGCTTTATCAGAGAAGTTAAGACACCGTCTAATAACTGTTAATATAATGATTAATGCCTCTTTACACTGATCACCATCATTTCTGTGGGACCCGTGAAGATTCCGGGGTGGAATAGGTCTTCAGCAACCCATACTTGCCGTAAAAGGCGACTATGCTTGCCGTAAAAGGCGACTATGCTTGTCGTAAAAGGCGACAAACGGGATCGGGTGGTCAGGCTCGCTGACTTGGTTGATACATGTCATCGATCCCAATTGCGTGGATCGATGCTCATGATGTCAATCACTGGATTGTCTTGTCCAGACTCGATTATTTTACAGACCGCCGTCATATAGCTGGAATATTGCTGAGTGCGGCGTTAAACAACAAACAAACAAACAAACATTTCTGTGGCCCGGTGGACAAACATGAAATCTCTTTCATAATGTCAACGCGCACGTTGACGGGGAATTATTTAGCTCTTGGGCGAATAAAGGACAAAATCGACATCACTGTCCCGGAACACTTTATGCACAACATGTAAACAATAAACAACAATTGCACAATGAGCGGAATACCTGCTCTGACAACACAAACACAGCGATGAGCGGACCTTCCAGCTCAGGCATACGTGAGGTGAGCGGAGCTCCAGCTCAACCTCAGGACGTTTCCTACGAGCGGCACATCCTGCTCGAGGTCGTCCTTACACCAACGCTCGGGATACACTTGACTAACACCATGTAATGGTAACACATATATAGTAATGAACAACAATGGACAGACAATGAGACAACGACGTTGCTTTGGACATTGGACATATAGGCGTGATGAACCGACACAGTTCAGGGGATGATCAATTAAGGCAATAAATGCCATACTATAAAAAGCAGTAGTAACAGGGAAGTGATATGGTAGTCCAGGCTGACTGACAGTAAAAATACAATGAAATGTTGGTGAGGATTAACAACGGGGATTATTGTCTTATAAATGATGACAATTAAGTTATGGAAACATATACATGTCATGGCTCAAGGTAATTAGCCTTTGGAATCAAATGTTCTTCAGACAATGGTTGTCGTAAATCAGTCGCTATGACAATAATATGTACCTCCATCCTGAAGACAGACATCAGCAGTCGATAGGCTAGTGTCCTCGCTAAACTGTATCACAATCTATATCTCCAAAGCTTGTAAAATGCCTCGGGTACGTCTTAGTTAGACACTGATTTTCAGTATCTTAGACAATTGTTTTGAGAATGATAACAATTGCATGGACGGATCCAGGATTTTCCAAAAAGGGGTTCAACTTGGGCCATGTGTACCTTCAGTGGAAGGGTGGGTGATGAAGTACACTGAAAAGCCTACCCCAAAATATCACAAACACGTTATGTGAGCCATCATTGATTTTACACTAACAGAGAAATCAACATGTTATCATGGCAGGCAATGCACATATAGGATGTCATCACAATCATGTAAACATCGGTGGCCACCCCCGGGACAGCTTCCACCCACCCACACCCATAAACAATATGATAAGTATTGTTGTCACGAATGTCTTTCAGCATATTTTGATCCTAATGTTTACCTCATAGGTCAAATATTGCCGTGTTGTGTACCTTTTGGTCAGTAATATTTGGTATGTTATACACTATGTACAGTTAGTCACACGTTAATAAACAATTTTTCCCTCGTTTCCTCCTCCTCCTCTCTCTCTACATCTCGCCCGCTCTATCTCCCTCACCCTCCCTTCTCTCCCTCTTCCTCTTTCTCCCTCACGCTCTCCCTCTCCCTTCCTCTCTTTATCCCTCTCTCTCTCCCTCACCATCCCTCCTCATCCTCTCTCCCTCACCCCCGTCTCTCTCTCTCTCTCTCTCCATATCTCGCCCTCTCTCTCCCTCTCTTTCACTCTCTCCTTCCTCTCTCTCTCTCCTACCCTTTCTCACTCTTGGCAGTGTGTGGACAAAAGCAGGTGACAGTCTGCCCCGTTCGCGCCGCGTGTGTCACTGACTGCGACTTCGGCCAAGTCATGGACGGTAACGGTTGTCCAACCTGCACGTGCCTGCCACGTGAGTATATCTTGCACAGCGGTCAGTGCACATAAATGTTCAGATGTTTCACTATTGTCCTTGATGGAATGCGAAAATCATTCTGATTCATTGTCAGTTAGCCTGTTAGCATGTCAGGTTACGTAGCTGTTATCTTCTCCTCCCTACACAGGGGGTGCACTCATTACGCAGCATGTCAGGTTACGTAGCTGTTATCTTCTCCTCCCTACATAGGGTGGTGCCCTCAGTACGTAGCATGTCAGGTTACGTAGCTGTTATCTTCTCCTCCCTACATAGGGTGGTGCCCTCAGTACGTAGCATGTCAGGTTACGTAGCTGTTATCTTCTCCTCCCTACACAGGGTGGTGCCCTCAGTACGTAGCATGTCAGGTTACGTAGCTGTTGTCTTCTCCTCCCTACACAGGGTGGTGCCCTCAGTACGTAGCATGTCAGGTTACGTAGCTGTTAACTTCTCCTCCATACACAGGGTGGTGCCCTCAGTACGTAGCATGTAAGGTTACGTAACTGTTAACTTCTCCTCCCTACACAGGGTGGTGCCCTCAGTACGTAGCATGTCAGGTTACGTAGCTGTTGTCTTCTCCTCCCTACACAGGGTGGTGCCCTCAGTACGTAGCATTTTAGGTTACGTAGCTGTTAACTTCTCCTCCCTACACAGGGGGTGCACTCATTACGCAGCATGTTAGGTTACGTAGCTGTTATCTTCTCCTCCCTACACAGGGGGTGCACTCATTACGCAGCTTGTTAGGTTACGTAGCTGTTAACTCCTCCTCCCTACACAGGGGGTGCACTCATTACGTAGCATGTCAGGTTACGTAGCTGTTGTCTTCTCCTCCCTACACAGGGTGGTGCCCTCAGTACGTAGCATGTCAGGTTACGTAGCTGTTAACTTCTCCTCCATACACAGGGTGGTGCCCTCAGTACGTAGCATGTAAGGTTACGTAGCTGTTAACTTCTCCTCCCTACACAGGGTGGTGCCCTCAGTACGTAGCATGTCAGGTTACGTAGCTGTTGTCTTCTCCTCCCTACACAGGGTGGTGCCCTCAGTACGTAGCATTTTAGGTTACGTAGCTGTTAACTTCTCCTCCCTACACAGGGGGTGCACTCATTACGCAGCATGTTAGGTTACGTAGCTGTTATCTTCTCCTCCCTACACAGGGGGTGCACTCATTACGCAGCTTGTTAGGTTACGTAGCTGTTAACTCCTCCTCCCTACACAGGGGGTGCACTCATTACGCAGCAGGTTAGGTTACGTAGCTGTTAACTTCTCCTCCCTACACAGGGTGGTGCCCTCAGTACGTATGCCCGGCATGCCCTGGACGAGGGTTTCAGACGGACGCCACAGGATGCCAGACCTGCGCCTGTAAAGGTACACAGTGTGACATTCTTAGTAGTAGTAGCAGTGGTAGTTGGGAAGTGGTGATGGTAGTTGCAGTAGTAGTTGTGGTAGTGGTGGATTGAGAGCGTGATTATAGTTTTACGCCGCTTTTAGCAATACTGCATCAATATCACGGCATTGGACACCAAAATTGGCTTCACACATTGTACCCATGTGGGTAGTGGTGGAAGTGGTCGTGGTAGTTGTATCAGTAGTAGCTAGCAGCAGCACTAGTAGCACTAATATTAGCTGTAGTAGTAGTAGTAGCAGTTTTAGTAGCAGCAGTGGTAGTAGTACTAGTGACAGCAACAGTAGAAGTAGCAGTAGCAGCAGTATGAGTAGTAGTCGAAGTATTAGTATTAGCAGCAGTATTATTAGTATTAGTAGTGATAGTAGCAGTAGTAGTAGTAGAAGCAGCAGCAGCAACAGTAGTCGTAGCAGTATCCCGTCAGACGCCTCAACATGGGTTGCTGCAGACCAATTCAAACCCGAAGTTTCACGGGCCAGTAGCAGTAGTAGTAGTAGTAGTAGTAGTAGTTGTTTTTTTAGTAGTAGTAGTAGTAGCAGCAGCAGCAGCAGCAGTAGTATTACTACATTATTGTCTTCCTCCTTCACGAAGTCAAGAATCACGAATCATGCATTGCTCTCCATGAACCACATTGCAGTAAGGGAGTTTTTGATCGTATGGGGACACGGGTGGCCCAGTCGTCTAAGGCGCCGCGATTCGCTGTGCAGAGTTGCGTCCCTTGGGCATGCCAGAAACCTATGATTGTGGGTTCGAATCCCGGTTCGCCCCGATTATGTTTCTAGGTTTGTCAGCACCATACCCGTGCTCGTGGGTTTCACCGGTGGTAAACGTCTGAGACCTGTATCACTTGTGGCTTTCCTCCCACATTAAGCTGACACGCCGTGATATAAACCCAACTCACTCACTCACTCACTTTGATCGTGTTTCCCCGTAGGCTGTTGAACTACTCATACGAGACAAAGACAACCTGTCTTATTTATTACTCACGAATTCCTGCTTCTTCATTCATTCTCCGTACAGATTCCTTGTTCAGGCTGGGGAATGTCGAACTCCTTGCTAATATTTCGAAGTCAAAACTTTGACCTCATAGTTAAGTGTCACTGCACAAAGAACGCCTGGCTGTTTACTGAAACCAGTGAATCCCACATTGCAAGCCCGTCTTTATTCGAGAGACTCCTTTCTGTTTCCCAAGTGTGCTGTCGGATATCCCTTTTTGGTGACCTTGACCTATGACGTTGGGTAGATCGCCCAACACAGAAGAGACAAATGCCTTTTGCTGACTCCGTTGTCGATGTTGTAGATGTCTGTCGGCCGGTGAGGTGTCCGCGCAGATGCACGTACGGACACGCCGTCAACACAAGTGGATGTGTAACCTGTCAATGTAAACCCCAGGCAAGGAACAGGAATCCACGGCGTGAGTATGGCTTAAAGTTCAGTGATTATGAGTTGGCGTTCGCCCTACTGTTATCATCATTCGAGCCATAGCGTCACAGCAGCATTAGCGTTATTACTAGCGGTTGTAGTAGTTATTGTTGTAGGAACAGTCACATTGGTGGTAATAGCATCAGTAGGAGCAGCAGTAGCAGGAGCAGGAGTAGCATTAGCAGTAGTTGCAGTAGTAGAAACAGTAACAGTAGCAGTAGGTGTAGCAATAGTTATAGTAGCAGTAACAGTAGCAGTGTTATTCTTAAATACTAGTAAACGCACCATTGTTGACGTAATGCAGACCCGTCCGTTTCATGACGTCATGAGGACACCATTATTGACATTATGCAATCCCGTCTGCTTGATGACGTCATGAAGGCACAATTAATGACGTAATGCAATCCCATCCGTTTAAAATGGCATAAATGGCACCTTTGCTGACGTAATGCAGCCCCGTCCGTTTGATAACGTCATAAATGGCACCATTGTTGGCGTAATGCAGTCTCGTCCCTTAGCTTAGATAATGTTTTGTAAGTACATTTGTTGACGTGATGCAAGTAGATCTCTTTTATTTACATAATTAAGACAATTTTTCACGACACTCGACATTCTCGACCTGATTTTCTATATAATAAAACACATATTCACTTCAGCTGAACTCACACTTGTTTACAGATAATGATCATAAACACTGATCCCAAGCAAATATTGAGTGGTATATATTGTCAAGTGGTTTTTTTCTGTCAGTGCCTATGGACCCTGATGTCTTGGATACTCTGATGGACATGCGAGAGGAGCGGGTAGGCCGGTCCTTCCGGCCCGTGTGACCAGGGGGGCACGCCACGTGCTTCACATCAATCGAGAGAACCACCCCAAGACGCACTTGTATTACAAACTATTAACTATTTGTCCTCTAAAGTGAGCTATACCATCGTTCACACCACACCATCACTCTCAAACCCACCCCACACCCAACATGTTACACCTACCATCTCACATCCTACATCCCAAACACCATGCCACATCTCACACCCCACAACACATCTCTCACCACGTCACATCTCTCGCATCACACCCCACACCCAACATGTTACAACACCCATCTCACATCCTACATCTCAAACACCATGCTGTATCTCACACCCCACAACACATCTCACACCACGTCACATCTCTCACATCACACCCCGCACCCAACATGTGACACCACCCATCTCACATCCTACATCCCAAACACCATGCTGTATCTCACACTCCACAACACATCTCTCACCACGCCACATCTCTCGCATCACACCCCGCACCCAACATGTGACACCACCCATCTCACATCCTACATCTCAAACACCATGCCACATCTCACATCCCACAACACATCTCTCACCACGCCACATCTCTCGCATCACACCCCGCACCCAACATGTGACACCACCCATCTCACATCCTACATCTCAAACACCACGCCACATCTCACACCCCACAACACATCACACTCCACAACACATCTCACACCACGCCACATCTCTCGCACCACACCCCGCACCCAACATGTGACACCGCCCATCTCACATCCTACATCCCAAACACCGTGCTACATCACACCCCACAACACATCACACTCCACAACACATCTCCCGCATCACACCCCACACCCAACATGTTACCCCACCCATCTCACATCCTACATCTCAAACACCACGCCACATCTCACACCCCACAACACATCACACTCCACAACACATCTCACACCACGCCACATCTCTCGCACCACACCCCGCACCCAACATGTGACACCACCCATCTCACATCCTACATCTCAAACACCACGCCACATCTCACACCCCACAACACATCACACTCCACAACACATCTCACACCACGCCACATCTCTCGCACCACACCCCGCACCCAACATGTGACACCACCCATCTCACATCCTACATCTCAAACACCACGCCACATCTCACACCCCACAACACATCATACTCCACAACACATCTCACACCACGCCACATCTCTCGCACCACACCCCGCACCCAACATGTGACACCACCCATCTCACATCCTACATCCCAAACACCGTGCTACATCACACCCCACAACACATCACACTCCACAACACATCTCCCGCATCACACCCCACACCCAACATGTTACCCCACCCATCTCACATCCTACATCTCAAACACCACGCCACATCTCACACCCCACAACACATCACACTCCACAACACATCTCTCACCACGCCACATCTCTCGCACCACACCCCACATCCCATCCGATATATTCTGAAATAATCAGAAGAGAATGTTTTACAAAATGACTCTTATCATTCGTCAGTTAATAATATTGTTTTTCACTCTTTTCACTAAATCATGATATAATGCATCTTTCATCTTTATTTAAGCTATTCCACCTGTAAAAAGAGTAACTGTGCTTCATATAAAGTGGTGTTAATGTTATGCTATTGAAAATAACAACATAATATTAGGTCATTTGTTGGATCAATGTTTTATCATAACAAATTCAAAACCCAGACCCGGTAACAGGAGACATACCCTGCAAGAGTGGTGTTGTAACAACGCAGTTAAAAATGTCAATATCGGGTGTGTTCAGCATTTGCGTTGATACAGGCGAGGCAGCTGCGAAGTAAAGACACCAGATGATTGAAAACAGCCTGGGTGATTGGTCCGACTGAACTAAAGGTTGGTTCTGGTCCTGTCGTAGGAGTCGTTTCATCTCATCCCAGACATGTTCTTTGGGGGAAAGGAGTGACATTGTGTTTTAATGAGCATTGCAATGCCTGGCAACATCGTTTTGCGTCTTTCCTACGGCGCGTAGAAGTTGATTTTCAGCATGCCCTGGCATTGCGTACGCGTTATTTACGGTTAAAGCACCTGATAGCTAAGCAATCATTGTGTGCTGTTCGTGATAAAAATGATCTGTTCTCCCAACAAACTCGCAAACATTCAAACATGCACGTGTGAATTGTAAATCAAGACCTTAAAGCTGAAGAGATAGAAGTATTGACAGAAGCATCATTTCATTTCAGAAAACATATGAAGCACAGTTAAGTTTTTAAAGTTTTCAGTTATAATACAATGTAACACATATTTGTTTGGTTAAATGAGGAACTTTTCGTCTCATAATAGTCAGTAATGTTTCACATGTATGAATAATGGTCATAACTGATGGACTAGTTTGATAAACGTTGGTTATTCAATAGCGCTGATTGTAAGGGTAATCAAACGATTCAGTTGATCCGACTGCAGGAGTATTGGGTGTAGGGTAATCCAAAAGTAGGGGTATTAGGTGTAGAGTAATCTGAAAGTAGGGGTATCAGGTGTAGGGTAATCTGAAAGTAGGGGTATTAGGTGTAGAGTAATCTGAAAGTAGGGGTATCAGGTGTAGGGTAATCTGAAAGTAGGGGTATTAGGTGTAGGGTTATCTGAAAGTAGGAGTATTAGCTGTAGGGTAATCTAAAAGTAGGGGTATGAGGTGAAGGGGTAATCTGAAAGTAGGGGTATAGGGTGTAGGGTAATCTGAAAGTAGGGGTATAAGGTGTAGGGTAATCTGAAAGTAGGGGTATCAGGTGTAGGGTAATCTGAAAGTAGGGGTATAGGGTGTAGGGTAATCTGAAAGTAGGGGTATAAGGTGTAGGGTAATCTGAAAGTAGGGGTATTAGGTGCAGGGTAATCTGAAAGTAGGGGTATTAGGTGCAGGGTAATCTGAAAGTAGGGGTTTAAGGTGTAGGGTAATCTGAAGTAGGGGTATTAGGTGTAGGGTAATCTGAAAGTAGGGGTATAAGGTGTAGGGTAATCTGAAAGTAGGGGTATAGGGTGTAGGGTAATCTGAAAGTAGGGGTATAGGGTGTAGGGTAATCTGAAAGTAGGGGTATTAGGTGTAGGGTAATCTGAAAGCAGGGGTATAGGGTGTAGGGTAATCTGAAAGTAGGGGTATCAGGTGTAGGGTAATCTGAAAGTAGGGGTATCAGGTGTAGGGTAATCTGAAAGTAGGGGTATTAGGTGTAGGGTAATCCGAAAGTAGGGGTATTAGGTGCAGGGTAATCTGAAAGTAGGGGTATTAGGTGTAGGGTAATCTGAAAGTAGGGGTATCAGGTGTAGGGTAATCTGAAAGTAGGGGTATTGGGTGTAGGGTATTCTGAAAGTAGGGGTATTAGGTGCAGGGTAATCTGAAAGTAGGGGTATTAGGTGTAGGGTAATCCGAAAGTAGGGGTTTTAGGTGTAGGGTAATCTGAAATAGGGGTATTAGGTGCAGGGTAATCTGAAAGTAGGGGTATTAGGTGTAGGGTAATCTGAAAGTAGGGGTAATAGGTGTAGGGTAATCTGAAAGTAGGGGTATAAGTTGTAGGGTAATCTGAAAGTAGAGGTATTAGGTGTAGGGTAATCTGAAAGTAGGGGTATCAGGTGCAGGGTAATCTGAAAGTAGGGGTATTAGGTGTAGGGTAATCTGAAAGTAGGGGTATTAGGTGAAGGGTAATCTGAAAGTAGGGGTAATAGGTGTAGGGTAATCTGAAAGTAGGGGTATAAGTTGTAGGGTAATCTGAAAGTAGAGGTATTAGGTGTAGGGTAATCTGAAAGTAGGGGTATCAGGTGCAGGGTAATCTGAAAGTAGGGGTATTAGGTGTAGGATAATCTGAAAGTAGGGGTATTAGGTGAAGGGTAATCTGAAAGTAGGGGTATTAGGTGTAGGGTAATCTGAAAGTAGGGGTATTAGGTGTAGGGTAATCTGAAAGTAGGGGTATTAGGTGTAGGGTAATCTGAAAGTCGGGGTATTAGGTGTAGGGTAATCTGAAAGTAGGGGTATTAGCTGTAGTGTATTCTGAAAGTAGGGGTATTAGGTGTAGGGTAATCTGAAAGTAGGGGTATGAGGTGTAGGGTATTCTGAAAGTAGGGGTATAGGGTGTAGGGTAATCTGAAAGTAGGGGTATTAGGTGCAGGGTAATCTGAAAGTAGGGGTAATAGGTGTAGGGTAATCTGAAAGTAGGGGTATAAGTTGTAGGGTAATCTGAAAGTAGAGGTATTAGGTGTAGGGTAATCTGAAAGTAGGGGTATCAGGTGCAGGGTAATCTGAAAGTAGGGGTATTAGGTGTAGGGTAATCTGAAAGTAGGGGTATTAGGTGAAGGGTAATCTGAAAGTAGGGGTATAAGGTGTAGGGCAATCTGAAAGTAGGGGTATCAGGGGTAGGGTATTCTGAAAGTCGGGGTATTAGGTGTAGGGTAATCTGAAAGTAGGGGTATAAGGTGTAGGGTAATCTGAAAGTAGGGGTATTAGGGATAGGGTTATCCGAAGATAGGGGTATGAGGTGTAGAGGTCGGGGTATTGGTTGGTGGAGTACTCCCCTACATATTCGGACCAACATGGGAGTGCAGAAAAATCGGGAAGACTTTATATTAGAGATCATTAACATGTATATACTTTTGAATAACATTATCGTTTCCTCTGTAACCAGTAGGAGATGGAGCTGTCTATGTTCAATAAAAAATAGTTAAACCTGCTTTTATTTATTTGTTGTCAACAAGCATCATGCGCGATCGTGTGTGTGTGTTTCTTTGTTTGTTTGGAGGTGTGTTTGTATGTGCGTTTGTGCAGGTTTGAGTAGAGGTGTGTGTGTGTAGATGTGTGTACAGTAAACTACGGTTATAACGAACTCAAAGGGACTGCTAATTTTAGTTCGTTATAACCGTAGTTCGTTATAAGAACATATACAGCATGACTACAGCAAGTAGTCGGGACCAAAAAGTAAGTTCGTTACATCCGTCAGTTCGTTATAAGCGTGTTCGTTATAACCGTAGTTTACTGTATATGTGGAGGTGTGTGTGTGGTGTGAGTGGACTTTCAAACGATTTTGTTTGTTTGTTTGTTTGTTGTTTAACGCCACACTCAGCAATATTCCAGCTATATGTTGGCAGTCTGTAAATAACAGAATCTGGACCTCTTACTACAAGCATAGTCCGCCTTTTACGGCAAGCATGTGTTGCTTAAGACCTATTCTACCCCGGATCTTGTTGTTGATATGTTTTAGCGTCGCGGATTTACGCAAAGTGTGCACCTCAACGTTCACGTGTTTAAACCCATGAACGCAAATCACTTTTTAAAGAATATGTGAGAAAAAGAGTCAAACATAGCTGATTAGTTTGTATCGAAAGAGAGTGAGTGTGGTTTAACACCGCAATATTCCAGCAATATCACGGCGGGCGACACCAGAAATGGGCTTCACACATTGTACCCATGTCGGGAATCGAACCCGGTTCCTCGGCGTGACGATCGAACGCTTTAACCACTAGGCTACCCCACGGCCCTTTGTAACGAAAGTGAGTGTGTGAGTTGGGTTTAACGCCGCTTTTAACAGACTTGAGTATTCTAGTTATATGGCGGCGTGTCAGCTTAATGTGGAGGAAAGCCCGAAGTGATGCAGGTCTCAGACGTTTACCACTTTGATGAAACCCACGAGCACGGGCATGGTGCTGACAAACCTAGAAACATTATTGGGGCGAACCGCGATTCCAACCCACAATCATAGGTTTCTGGCATGTCGAAGGGACGCAACTCTGCTTAGCGAATCGCGGCGCCTAAGACGACCGGGCCACCTGTGCGCCCTTTTGTAACGAAAGTCAGAAGAAACATATTATTAATCTCTATGTGTGATTATTACTGTCAGTCTGTAAAAATAAATCCAGGCAATGTGACTGGGCAACAATGTCAGTCGCTTTACAAAGTGACTCTATTTGGAGATTGAATGTTGAATATTGCATTTACACTTCAGCAAAAGAACGCATCTTCTTTGTATGCATATTTTGATGTTTGATTGCATATATTTGTAAACATACATGTTTTGTTTATTCTGAAAAACTAAGCTACTTGAAATCACTCAAAGCCTTGTCCAGTCTTGTAAATACAGGATACCCCACTCGCCTCATTCGTTGGTGGTGTTTAAAGCGGTGTTTTATTGTAAGATGTACTAAGTCTTGTGAAATGTTAAAGAGAGAGGGTGTCATTGTTAGATGTTCTAGTGACGTTTCCAGTGAAATTATCTAGAGATGTGTTCTTGTTAGATGAGATTTCTACAGAAATGTTCTACTGGGGTTTCTAGTGCAATGTTCTAGAGATGTGTTCTAGTGAGGGTTCCAGTGAAATGTTCCAGTGACGTGTTCTAGTGAGGTTTTAAGTGAAATGATCCGCAGTGTCCTTCTTGTTCGTGTGAGGTTTCCAGTGAAATGTTCTTGTGAGGTTTTTAGTGAAATGTTTTTGTGAGGTTTCCAGTGAAATGTTCTTTTGAGGTTTCCAGTGAAATGTTCTGCAGATGTGTCCTTCTTTTGTGTGTTAGGTTTCCAGTGAAATGTTCTAGTGAGGTTTCCAGTGAAATGTTCCAAAGAAGTGTTCCAGTGAAAAGTTCTCGTGAGGCTTCGACTGATATGTTCTACTGGGTTTCAAGTGCAATGTTCTAGAGATGTGTTCTAGTGAGGTTTCCAATGAAACGTTCTAGAGAGGTTTCTACTGAAATGTTGCACTGGGATTTCTAATGCCATGATCGTCACGATATGGCTGAAATACTGCCAATGTGACGTCAAATCTTAACTCACTCTAATGCGATATTTTAGAGAGGTGTTCTAGCGAATTTGCCAGTGAAATGTTATAGAGAGGTGTTCTTGTTGGATGTTCTAATTAGGTTTCAAGTGAAATGTTCTTTTGAGGTTCTCGTGAAATGTTCTGGAGAGTGTTCTTGTTAGATGTTCTAGTGACATGTTCTCGTCAGATGTTTTGGGGAAGTGTCTTAGTTACAGTTCTAGTGAGATGTCTGAATGGGGTATTATACTTCTAAAACGGCAAGGACCACCCTGTTATTTCATATTACTATTCTTTCATGGCATGACACATTACCGATAGTAATATGAAAGACTCGAGTGGTACTTGACCTTTTTAAGAAGAAAAGCAGTATTCTTTAGTGGTGTATTCTACTGGGGAGTCTTATTCTGATGTTGTTCTATTACGTTTTCCTACTGAGGTGTTCTCTATTGAGGTGTTCTAGAAGGATATCAAACTGAGGTGTTCCAGTTTAATGTTCCATTTGCGTGTTCTTGTATAATGTCCCACTTAGGTGTTCTAGTAGGATGACCTACTGAGGTGTTCAGATGAGATGTTCTAGTAAGATGACCAACTGAGCTGTTGAGGTGAGATGTTCTAGTAAGATGAACTACTGAGGTGTTCAGGTAAGATGTTCTAGTAACATGGCCTACTGAGGTGTTCCGGTGAGATGTTCTAGTAAGATGACCTACTGAGGTGTTCAGGTGAGATGTTCTAGTAAGATGACCTACTGAGGTGTTCAGGTGAGATGTTCTAGTAAGATGACCTACTGAAGTGTTCAGGTGAGATCGACATTTGCTTGTCTTCAGTTGTGCAGCTTCGGGCCTGCAACATAACTAATTGTATATATGACCAAAACTTTAGAGATAATACATCTGCTTGTACTCTACGTATAGGTCTAGTGGTAGGGCATCTTCCCGAGGCAAGAAGGGGCGGTCAGGTAGCCTTGGGGTAAAAGCGTTCGCTCGTCATGCCGAACACCCGGATTCGATTCCCGACATGGGTACAATGCGTGAAGCCCATTTCTGGTGTTCCCCGCCGTGATATTGCTGGAATATTGCTAAAAGCGGCGCAAAACCAAACTCACTCACTCACTCACTCCCGAGGCAAGAGCGTCCACCAGCCTTTCTATCAACGTCTTGTTTCCACCCTTGCCACATCAAGCCTACTTTCCTGTGCTAAATATGATTGGACTATCGCACATATCGATAGTCCAATCAGAGAACGTTTCACAAAATCAACATCCACGACTGGTACACCCTCGTATGAAAGTGATTTATCGCTGCCTGTCTTTTTCATCCTTAACCCCCCAAAGATTACCTATGTGTTTGGGATGAAATCGCGAATGTTTTCGTTATCTGCTCTACGAGGTCGTCGCCTGTGGTAGTCGCCATCTTTGTGAAAGTATACGAGATAAGAACAGCGATCTGATTGGATATCGCGTTTTCATTACAAGGGACACTAGGTGGCGCTAGGGTCGAGCCAAGAAAAGTGGCCTTGGTGTGGCAAGGGTAGCAACTAGGCATTGATATAGGCTAGTGGACACGTTTGCTTCGGGAAGATGGTTGCAGGGTGGATAGTTTTGGAGAAAAAGACTGACTCAGCTGGACTCACAAGCTTGGTGAAATGGTTGATAGCATGTAATCTTACCCCGACTGCAAGCATCGTTGCTCATAATGTTACGTCACTGATGTGTCTGATCCAGATTCGATTTTTAACAAGCCGTAATGGAACACACTACGTTACGTAGCAGAATTCTAGGAAGAACATGGCGCACACCATGATTTGGCTACAATCAAGGGATTGGGAACCAGATCCAGTAAAGCGTATTCAATGTGATCAGGTGTGTTATCAGTAAGTAATATCTGACATGATGAAGACAGAGACTGACAGTTGCCCTGAAGCAAGAGAGGGCAACTCATGCTTCTTCTCAGCCACAACTGACTGCTTCCGAGACGGTGTCAGACGCCACGCCCACTTTATAAAGCGGTAATAGATTGCAATGCCCTGCCTACTGACTGTACATTGCCTGTAGCTAGTGATCTATTTTGATACTTGGAGTGACAGATGGAAGTATTGAGACATATCTCACTGAAGACGAACACTCATTGTCTTGAAATTAGGTCATTACTGTGTGATAAGTAAGTTGATATTAAGTTGTGATTTGGTGATTGGGATTTTGTTGTTATTAAGACAACAACGTAATCTGTACCGACTTTCGGTGTTAATCTGCCAATTTAATAACAACGGATTCCATAACTCTTCTCTTTGCTGAAACGTAAAACCTGTCATACAACAGCGTCATAGTTTTATAAGCATATGTAATATATGTTATAAATATTTAAGCCAATGTACATCCTCGTCATCTTCATCATGATACATCAGACCTATAAAGATCCGGGATAGAATAGGTCTTCAGCAACCCATGCTTGCCGTAAAAGGCGGCTATGCTTGTCGTAAGATGCGACTAACGGGATCGGGTGGTCAGGCTCGCTGACTTGGTTGATGCATGTCATCGTATCCCAATTGCGTGGATCGATGCTCATGATGTCGATCACTGGATTGTCTGGTCCAGACTCGATTATTTATACAGACCGCCGTCATATAGCTGGAATATTGCTGAGTGCGTCGTTAAACCACAACAAACAAACAAACATACCCGGTGTCCTGGGCATCCTGGTGTCTATGACGCGCGACTACAACGTGGCACTCTATACTGTTCCCCTAACTCTTTTTTACTACAACATAGGAAATAATTATGTGCTCAATGCTGTTCCCTTAAGCTTTGATATTCGCGGTTAGAAACAATCCGTAGCTCAGAGGATTCCAACATATAAAGAAAATATTCTTTGTAGGAGAGTTGGAAGCTGAAAATGTCATTACCGTACAAGTGGATCTTTATAAGAAGCGTAATCGAAGTCGGATTCGTTCGGATTTTATTCTGCATCAGAATACATGTACCCCCTCCCCCAAAAAGAAACCACCAAACCAGTTAGAGACAACAGCGCCCCAACCCCCCCCCCCCCCCACACACACACACAAATAAAACACGCACACGAAAAACAACAACAAAGCAAACAAAACACACACACACACACTCAAAATAACAAAAAAATACAGACTAAAAAACCCAGCTAAACGTTCCTGTATTGGCTTCCGGTGTGACACGAAGTGTGTGCTCGGTGTCTCTCTGTACGCAACTAATAATATATTTGTGCTGCTATCCACACAACTAATAATGCGGTTGTGAAGACGGTGTGGGTTGGTGTCGGCCTTGCTTGTCCACCCACAGGAGGGATGCAGGGCTCGCTGGTTGTGTCGGCTTTAGAGGTATGTTTCTCTGTAGAGGAGTATAAACATGGGGTAGAGTAAAAAAACAATGATGTAGACAGTGAACCAAACACAGAATATTGATGGAGTGGGCTGAGATGAATGTGCTTTATCGTCGCGTTCAAGATTATTGCATTTATATAACGACGTTCATGTACGTGTATGTGTGGCCGCTTGTGCTCGTCCGGACTAATGCTGGTTTTATAGTGCTAACCCATTGAGACACCATGCCACAGTTTAACATGGATGCCCCACTCAGACACAGTATACTGACACCGAGCAACATGGTATACAGACAATAAACAGGTGATACAAAATAAACAGATGAATAAACAGGTGATACAGACAGTAAGCAGGTGATACCGATAATAAACAGATGAATAAAACGTGATAGTGAAAATAAACAGGTGATACAGAAGTAAACATGTGAAGCAGAAAATACCAGACGAACAAACAGGTGATATGGACAGGTAAACAGGTAAACAGGTGATGCAGAAAAAAACCAGATAAATAAACAGGTAATACAGAAAATAAACAGGTGAATAAACAGGTGATACCGACAATGAACAGATGAATACACAGGTGCTACAGATAATAAACAGATGAAAAGACAGGTGATAGTGAAAATAAACAGGTGATTGTGAAAATAAACATATTAATAAACAGGTGATACGGACAGAAAACAGGTGATACCGAAAATAAACAGATGAATAAATAGGTGATACAGACAGTAAACAGGTGATACCGATAATAAACAAATGAATAAACAGGTGATAGTGAAAATAAACAGGTGATACAGAAGTACATGTAAACATGTGATACAGAAAATACCAGATGAACAATCAGGTGATATGGACAATAAACAGGTGATGCAGAAGTAAACATGTGATACAGAAAATACCAGATGAACAAACGGGTGATGTGGACAATAAACAGGTGATACAGAAAATAAACAGATGAATAAACTGGTAATACGGATAATGAACAGATGAATAAACAGGTGATACAGATAATAAACAGGTGATACTGACAGTAAACAGGTGATACAGAAAATAAACAGACGAGTAAACAGGTGATGCAGACAGTAAACAGGTGATACCGTAAACAAACAGATGAATAAACAGGTGATACTATAATAAACGGAGGAATAAGCAGGTGATACAGACAGTAAACAAGTGATACAGAAAATAAACAGATAAATAAACAAGTGATACAGAAAATAAACAGATAAATAAACAGGTGATACGGAAAATAAACAGATGAATAAACAGATAACACTGATAGTAAACAGGTGATAAAGAAATAAACAGATGATACAGAAAATACAGATGAATAAACAGATAATATGGACAATAAACAGGTGATATAGAAAATGAATAGATGAATAAACAGATGATACGGACAAAAAACAGATGATAGTAACAGTAAACAGGTGATAGTGACAGTAGTGAGTGAGTGAGTAAGTTGGGTTTAACGCCGCTTTTAACAGTATTCCAGTTATATCGCGGCGTGTCAGCTTAATGTGGGAGGAAAGCCCGAAGTGATGCAGGTCTTAGACGTTTACCACTTCGGTGAAACCCACGAGCACGGGTATGGTGCTGACAAACCTAGAAACATCATCGGGGCGAACCGGGATTCGAACCCACAATCATAGGTTTCTGGCGTGCCCAAGGGACGCAACTCTGCAAAGCGAATCGCGGCTCCTTAGACGACTGGGCCACCCGTGCCCCCGATAGTGACAGTAAAAAGATTATAAAGACAATAAACAGAAGAATAAACAGGTGGTTCAGACAGTGAACAGGTGATGCAGAAAATAAACAGATGAATAAACGGATGATACAGACAAATAAACAGGTGAAACCGACAGTAAACGGGTGATACAGAAAATAATTATTTGATACCGATAATTTACAGATGTAATAACAGGTGATACTGCCAGTAAACAGATGATACGGACAATAAACAGGTTATTTAGACAGTAGACATGTGATAATAAATCATAGACCTTATATGTAACAGATGATACAGAAGTAAACATTACTGAAAGACAGAAAGGACTTCACACGATATACCCATGTTCGATTTTTACCCAATGTGACATATATTCAGTAGGCATGCTGTGGGGACACGAGCTCAACGAAGCTTCCATAAAGAGAGCTAACTCTGGGTGGCTTAGATGGATAGAGGACCATCCAAGTTGTGAATATTGGCACAGGCTGTTGTTTGATTGTTGTGGAACGCTGCACTATGATGGCGGTCTATAAATAGTCTAGTCAGGACCAGATAATCCAGTGATTGACATCATGAGCATCGGTCTACGCATTAACCAGTGAGTCAGTGAGTCTGACCACCCGGTCCCGTTAGTCGCTTCGTACGACAACAATGGGTTGTTGAAAGCCAACGCTAGCCCATATAAAACTCGACAAAAGAAAAAACACAAAGCTAAGAAAACCTAAGATAATATCCTTAATATACGGTGGCCCATAAGGGACATGGAGTCTGTTTTTCAATATTTTGATATTTCACTTACTTTTATCGTAACCTTTTGCAAATTGACACAATTTGTCATTCAAATATGTGATAAATCATGTATAAAAAACCCCGAACTTTCATGTAGCTATTGAATCGCTGAAATGTGAAGCGAAAATGTCAAAAGCTAAAATGGAAATGTCAAAAACAAAAACGAAAATGTCAAAAACAAAAACGAAAATGTCCAAAACGAAAGTGAAAATGTCAAAAACTAAAATGAAAATACAGAAAACTATTTCCACCGCGGTGGAAATAGTTTTCTGTATTTTCATTTGAGTTTTTGACCTTTTCGTTTTTGACATTTTCATTTGAGTTTTTGACATTTTCGCTTCACTTTTCAGCGATTCAATATCTACTTTATACGTGATTTATCACATATTTGTATGACAAATCGTGTTCATATGCAAAAGGTTATGATAACAGTAAGTGAAATATCAAAATATTGAAAAACAGACTCCATGTCCCTTATGGGCCACCGTATTAATGAAAAGTTTATTAGCTTATTCATCCTTAACATTATTTCCGTTCAACATCACGGCTGGTACATGTTTGTGAGCGGCTTAAACGGATGTATCACCCGTGAAGACCCGGGAAGAGAATAGGTCTTCAGCAACCCATGCTTGCCGTAAGAGGCGACTATGCATGTTGTGAGAGGCGACTAATGGAATCGGGTGGTCTGACTCACTGACTTGGTTTGATGCATGTCATCGTATCCCAATTGCGTAGATCGATGCTCATGATGTCAATCACTGGATTGTCTGGCCCAGACTCGATCATGTACAGACCGCCGTCATATAGCTGGAATAGAAACACGTGAGAAGACGAGACTTACCAAGGGACGCCACCAGAGGTACTGTCTGATACAGAAACACGCACTGTCTCCGCCGTAATCCCTGGCTGGTTGCTAGGTTACTTCCAACGTCCAGCTGGAGGTAGCGCTCGTGCATAGTATCAAAGCGGGGCCACTGTGTAAGGCTGCTGTTTTCACCATTTGGATTCCTTAAATTGAAAATGACATTCCATGTGATCAGTAAAACAACCTTGATACCATTAATTCTGTGCAGACATATCTCGCTATCACTGTCGTCCCCTGAGGAGGTAAGGGTTACCTCTCTTAATTAGCAGGATGCTGGAGATGCTGTTAGAATAGGTCCCCACCACCCTATGCTGGTCTCCCCTGGAGATTCCGGGTTAGAATAGGTCCCCACCACCATATGTAGTCTCCTCTGGATATTCCGGGTTAGAATAGGTCCCAACCACTCTATACTGGAGATTCCGGATTAGAATAGGTCCCCTCCACCATATGCTGGTCTCCCCTGGATATTCCGGGTTAGAATAGGTCCAAACCAATATATACTGGATATTCCGGGTAAGAATAGGTCCCCACCACCATATGCTGGTCTCCCCTGGATATTCCGGGTTAGAATAGGTCCCAACCACTCTATACTGGAGATTCCGGAGTAGAATAGGTCCCCTCCACCATATGCTGGTCTCCCCTGGATATTCCGGGTTAGAATAGGTCCCAACCACCATATGCTGGTCTCCTCTTGACATTCCGGGTTAGAATAGGTCCCAACCACTCTATACTGGAGATTCCGGATTAGAATAGGTCCCCTCCACCATATGCTGGTCTCCCCTGGATATTCCGGGTTAGAATAGGTCCCAACCACCATATGCTGGTCTCCCCTGGATATTCCGGGTTAGAATAGGTCCCAACCACTCTATACTGGATATTCCGGGTTAGAATAGGTCCCAACCACCATATGCTGGTCTCCCCTGGATATTCCGGGTTAGAATAGGTCCCAACCACTCTATACTGGAGATTCCGGGTTAGAATAGGTCCCAACCACCATATGCTGGTCTCCCCTGGATATTCCGGGTTAGAATAGGTCCCAACCACTCTATACTGGATATTCCGGGTTAGAATAGGTCCCAACCACCATATGCTGGTATCCCCTGGATATTCCGGGTTAGAATAGGTCCCAACCACTCTTTACTGGATATTCCGGGTTAGAATAGGTCCCAACCACCATATGCTGGTCTCCCCTGGATATTCCGGGTTAGAATAGGTCCCAACCAATATATACTGGATATTCCGGGTAAGAATAGGTCCCCACCACCATATGCTGGTCTCCCCTGGATATTCCGGGTTTGAATAGGTCCCAACCACTCTATACTGGAGATTCCGGGTTAGAATAGGTCCTCTCAACCATATGCTGGTCTCCCCTGGATATTCCGGGTTTGAATAGGTCCCTACCACTCTATACTGGAGATTCCGGGTTAGAATAGGTCCCCTCAACCATATGCTGGTCTCCCCTGGATATTCCGGGTTTGAAAAGGCCCCTACCACTCTATACTGGAGATTCCGGGTTAAAATAGGTCCCCTCAACCATATGCTGGTCTCCCCTGGATATTCCGGGTTTGAATAGGTCCCTACCACTCTATACTGGAGATTCCGGGTTAGAATAGGTCCCCTCCACCATATGCTGGTCTCCCTTGGATATTCCAGGTTTGAATAGGTCCCTACCACTCTATACTGGAGATTCCGGGTTAGAATAGGTCCCCTCCACCATATGCTGGAGATTACAGTTAAGAATAGGTCCCCGCCACCATATGCTGGTCTCCCCTGGAGATTCCGGGTAAGAATAGGTCCCCACCACCTTATGCTGGAGATTACAGTTAAGAATAGGTCCCCTCCACCATATGCTGGTCTCCCCTGGATATTCCGGGTTTGAATAGGCCCCTACCACTCTATACTGGAGTTTCCGGGTAAGAATAGGTCCCCTCCACCATATGCTGGTCTCCCCTGGAGATTCCGGGTTAGAATAGGTCCCCACCACCTTATGCTGAAGATTACAGTTAAGAATAGGTCCCCTCCGCCGTATGCTGGTCTCCCCTGCAGATTCCGGGTTAGAATAGGCCCCCTCCACCTTTTACTGGTCACGTAAGAGTCGACCAAAAAGATTGATTGGTTATGCTCGGTGATGTGGTCGAGATCGTGTCCCAGCAGCCCGATGGTCTGGGTCGGTCCTCATAATATCGATCACTGGATTGTCTTGTCCAGACTCGATTATTTACACTTCAGGTTATCGCAGTATAGCTGGATAACTGCTCAACAACAAATAAAGAAACTTAATGTGGGAGAAAGCCCAAAGTGTTATCTCGTTGTTGTTTGTTTGCTGCTTAACAACACTCTCAATAATATCCCAGTCAAACGATGTCAGCCCCTAAATATTCGCGGTAAGACCAGAAACATACAAAACATCCTATGTTGTCATTGTTTCCACAAAATCCCCATCCCCAATCCTTAATTGCCTTGAATGTCATTTTAATTTAGCGTAGTGTTTAAAAAAAATCTTTTTTTAACAATCTGAGATTGATCACTTACCCGAATTTTGCGAAGTTGGTCCAATATGACATCATAACCCGACTTAACGTCTTCTCGTCGTCTGTAAACGTCAAGTTAACATTAGGGTCAAGGGCGTGACCCCAGACTAACGGCAGCTCACCCCCGTGCTTGACCCCCATCCACTTTGGTACTGTAGCTGACTGCAGTCTATGGTTGAATGAGTACAAATATGTTGGATTTGACGTAGCCAGGAAACCAGCAAACCTCGTGACGGGACACTTGAAAACATAGTCTCCGAGGACTTCGTCAGCGATACTCACATAGTCTCGCTCAGACTCCACGCGAGACAGGACATACTCCTGATAGAGACTCCTCACGGTCATGTTCGACCCACCCTGTGTCTTTCCTTGAGCGTCAAGGTCAGCCATGAACTCCGCATCCGAAATGGAAAGGTTATCCTGCCATTTAAACACGGCTGGATGTCCGTAGTACAGGAACAGCGCCCCCTCATTCTGATTTACCCCCAGCAGGACGCTGGCGTTCTTCACTGCTCCTTTTTCCAAAATGGCGAGCGGTCGGTCAGGAAGGAAGCTGCCGTCCACTACCGGCCCGAACGCAACGTTGGCGCCTTCGACCAAGCCATTCTGAAGGTTAACCAGATCTCCGGCTTTTTGATTATTCAGACACTCATATATTTCCACATTTGTACGCATGGAGCTACACTTTGCCTTTTTGGCAATGGCGTTCGCGTTTGTTTTGGCTTCTCTGTCCGTGAGAAGATCCCATGACGTTAACGGCGATCCGCTTTCAATGATGGCTGACGTGAAGAACGGCTGGGAAAGGGGAGATAATAAGTGATGGCTCACTGATCCACCACCAGCGCTCTGTCCAAATATGGTAATCCTGCTGGAATCTCCGCCAAAGTTATGGCTGTTCTCATACACCCATTTGATAGCAAGTCTCTGGTCCATGAGGCCCATGTTCCCTGGGACAGTGTTGGCGTCAAGGTACAGAAACCCCAGAACACCAAGGCGGTAGTTGACGGTCACCACCACGACGTCGTTGACGGAGGCGAGAATCCTCCCGTCAAACATCGGTGCGTTGATGGAGCCGCTTGAGAATCCTCCGCCATAAAGCCACACCATGACGGCCTTCGGGGCACCGTGTGGGGAGGATGGGGGAGCAAAGATGTTGAGATAGAGACAGTCCTCGCTCACCAATAACGGTAATTGTTCCAGAGGGTTTAGTTTGTTTGGTATGTCCTGATAACAAGAAGCCTTTTGTGTGGTTGCGTTTTTAACTTCCGGGTACCACGGTTCTACCGGAAGTGGATGTTTAAACCGTAGAGTATTAATTGGTGGTTTGGCGAATGGTATTCCGTGAAATACGTGAACTGGTTTCCCTAAAACTGTTGTTGTTCGTCCCCTGATCAGTCCGTGGGTTGAGTTGACAGTCTGGGCGTGTAGCGTAGAGATACAGCACAGGAGTATCAATGTCCAGATTCGAGCATCCATATTCCTAACTGAAATGAAATGACGAATAATAAATTAATGACTCTTTATTTAATAATTTGGTGTGGATGATTTGGAGATTGTGTACTTTACTATTAACACCCACTAAATTGGTTACCTCGCCTAAAATAGCTGGCACAGTTGTAAGAAAATGTTTGTTGAAAATAAACATTGCAGTTCAGTCAGTTCCTTCATATGAGCGAAGGGGCAAAAGAAAGTATATCGATTTTTTTATGTAATTGTTGTTTAACTGTTGTTATTTTGTATAGTCTTTTTTTAACCATCACTCATTCCTGTAGCAGTTTGTAAAAAGTAATCTGTGGCTGGATAATTTTGTGTAAAATTAAAACGGTTCAATTAAGACTGGGTATAAGAAATTTGTAACCACTTGCCCCATGTTTGAAATGTTGTAAATCTGTGCCGAAAAAAAGCCAATTTATTTTCAAACATTAGATTCTAAGATACCGATTATCAGTTGTGTGTTATGCGAACAGTATGTTTATTTTTTGAAAGTTTTAAATTAAATATCATTTTACAAAATAAACCATGAAGAAGGTTTCTTAGAGTGCTGACTAAGAGCGAGTACAGTTCATTTTTGGGATAAAAGATATTATCAACATATGATAAAGAGAGGTATAGTCTCTTGAGAGGTATAGTCATTTGAGAGGTAAAGTCATTTGAGAGATATAGTCATTTGAGAGGTAAAGTCATTTGAGGGATATAGTCTCCTGAGAGGTATAGTCATTTGAGAGGTATAGTCATTTGAGAGGTAAAGTCATTTGAGAGATATAATCATTTGAGAGGTAAAGTCATTTGAGAGATATAGTCTCCTGAGAGGTATAGTCATTTGAGAGGTATAGTCTCCTGAGAGGTATAGTCATTTGAGAGGTAAAGTCATTTGAGAGATATAGTCTCCTGAGAGGTATAGTCATTTGAGAGGTAAAGTCATTTGAGAGGTATAGTCATTTGAGAGATAAAGTCATTTGAGAGGTATAGTCATTGAGAGGTATAGTCATTGAGAGGTATAGTCATTTGAGAGATATAGTCTCCTGAGAGGTATAGTCATTTGAGAGGTAAAGTCATTAGAGAGGTATAGTCATTGAGAGGTATAGTCATTGAGAGGTATAGTCATCTGAGAGGTATAGTCATTTGAGAGATATAGTCTCCTGAGAGGTATAGTCATTTGAGAGGTAAAGTCATTTGAGAGATATAGTCTCCTGAGAGGTATAGTCATTTGAGAGGTAAAGTCATTTGACAGGTATAGTCATCTGAGAGGTATAGTCATTTGAGAGGTAAAGTCATTTGAGAGATATAGTCACCTGAGAGGTATAGTCATTTGAGAGGTATGGTCATTTGAGAGATATAGTCTCCTGAGAGGTATAGTCATTTGAGAGGTATGGTCATTTGAGAAGTATAGGCATTTGAGTGGTATAGTCATTGAGAGGTATAGTCATTTGAGAGGTATGGTCATTTGAGAGGTATAGTCATTTGAGAGATAAAGTCTCTTGATAGGTATAGTCATTTGAGAGGTATAGTCATTTGAGAGGTATAGTCTCTTGAGAGGTATAGTCATTTGAGAGGTATAGTCATTTGAGAGGTATAGTCTCTTGAGAGGTATAGTCTTTTGAGAGGTATAGTCATTTGAGAGGTTGGTCATTTGAGAGGTATACTCTCCTGAGAGGTATAGTCATTTGAGAGGTAAAGTCATTTGAGAGGTATAGTCATTTGAGTGGTATAGTCTCTTGAGAGGTATAGTCTCTTTAGAGGTATGGTCATTTGAGAGGTATAGTCATTTGAGAGGTATAGCCATTGAGGTATAGGCATTTGAGTGGTATAGTCATTGAGAGGTATAGTCATTTGAGAGGTATAGTCATTTGAGAGGCATAGTTTCTTTTGCTCCTCGGTTTATGATCGCTGAAGTATTTCAGGTTGGCAATTCTGAAACAAAGGTATCCTTATATTAAAATTTATGATTCGATAACAACTAGATGGACAAATACTTGTCACAGAATGGCGACACATGTCTGCAGGCTATGCTGTTTGAACTGGGCACCTCGACGGCAAGACACACTCCGCTGATCCCACAATCTTTCGTTTACTCGACGAAACATGGTACAATCAGTATAAATGTCGCTAGTGCATACGTAAGGTGTTTTGTGTTATGCCAAAACATTTCAAAAACCGTTTTTGCAATGTTTTGACAAGTGATTTTGTTCAAGCATATAACGGAATTGATTATCTTTTTCCAAAACATTCCATGCCCTGCTCCCCTCCATGAAAACCAAACATCAGCCATTTATCCAAGTTATCCAAACTTTGAATGAGTGAGTTAGGTTTTACGCAGCTTTTAGCAATATTACAGAGAATGCATGCCCTACCCCCTCAGCCACCCCCACCCCAAAACTTTATGTGAAAATGCCCTTCAACATAACCTTCCTTTTGAAGCAGCATCAGTGATGTCATTTGATGTTTGGTATGGGGTTCCCCTGTATACAGAGAAACCGTATTAGTCCGGAAACCAATTATCGTTTGAAACGTTTAAATATTTAGCAACACCAAAAACACAAACCAGTGCTTCGTTAATCCGGTCCAATTGGAGCAACACCGTCCGGATGAACGAGGTTTGTCGCATGCACACATGTGCTAGGTGAAGTGAAAACACGTGGACAATCTGCTGCCTTATTGTCCTCACACACTGTTATATGGTCAAGATGTGGACACAGATAGGCATTACCTACCTGTAGGCACCGGGAGATGTCATATATTAACTTTCCCTTATCTCCTCAAGGTTTCGACAATGATCTTCTGACCTATATAAAGGGCTCACCGGGACACCATGCTGAACCGCACTGGGTCAGTAGGTCGCCAGTGTATACACTGGACCCGACTATTTACTATTATGGGATGGGACTGGGACTGTGACGGTAATATGTTTTATGTTCAAGACATACATTTTTGCTCTGACCCACTTCAGTTTCCAGATAATTCATCGTGTGGCATGAACGATTTTTTTATGTTATTCGGAACCCCCCTCATCTCTCCTTCCCCGTAATGTCAATTTGTTGCTCCCCTTCCAACCATCCTTTCCCATGAGGTCAAATGGTTGCCCCCTCCCCCAAACACCCTTCCCCATAACATCAAATGGTTGTCCCTCATCCCTCCTTCACAATAATATGAAATGGTTGCGCCCCCCCCCCCCCCCCCCCCCCCCACCACCCTTCCCCATAATATCAAAAGGATGCCCCCCAATCCCTCCATCCCCATAACATCAGCTGGATGGTTGAAATGGTTGCCCCCCGCCCCCCAACATCCTTCCCCATAATATCAAAAAGATGCCCCCCCCCCCCATCTCTCCTTCCCCACACCCCTCAGACACTCCTTCCTCCTCCTCTATATTATCAAATAGTTAGCCCTACTGAGATTCACTTATTGCTTCCTCTCCCCCATGTGTTACAGTGTATGTCGGTCACGGTGGCCAGACTGTAGACGTTACATAAACAGCGGTGTATCTGTGTCGGCGGCGTCCGATAACTGATGCTATCCTTCACGCGTTCAAAGTGCACTAAGCACCTAGACAAACACTTGGGTAGCACTAGCTTGACGTCTCTATCTACTCCAACTACGTCTACTTCTACCTCGACTACATGTACCTCCGTGGTCTAGTGGTACCATCTTTTAACGTCTTTTGGTATGACGCTTCAGGGTTTGTATACTGATCCAGTGACCGGGGTAATAATAATGTAGCGAGCGGTTTGAGCATGCATCTGTGTGGTCTGGATATAAGCGCATTATTAACAAACAAACAAACAAACAAACAACTATGCTACTGAACGTTTGTTAGCGATAATCAGATATGTCATTCTGTTTAACATAAACTTGACATGTTGTAAGAATAATTTGTGTGTGTATCACGGAAAGGTAATATATCTCTATCTAAAGTGGAGTAATGTGTAAATTCACTATGCATTTGTACGCATTCAACTCAAAATGAAATGGGTTATGGTGATTTACAAAAGTAGTTTGCGTATTTGACGCAAATACACAGTTTATCCGGAGCTCTGGAGAAGTTAAACACTCACTCACACACAGATACACAAAAAACAAAGTGCAACACTCACTCACTCACTCACTCACTCACTCACTCACTCACTGTTTATTTAGGGATGTCGGAAGTTGCAAATTGTGGCGCCTAAAAATTCAATGAAAAATACCCGCATCCCTGAAAACCACTTTCTCATCCCAATCGCCAATCGCCATCACCATCAAATACGGAACACTGTTGTCCCCTTAGCGGACAGAGTGTTAATGGTGAATTTAAAGCGATCGTGTCACCTTTGAGCTGTCACTGGATAAAACAAAAATACGGGTTAGAATTTGTAATCATCAACCCATGCTTGTCGTAAGAGGCGACTAACGGGATCCGGCGGCCACGTGCTTGTCGTAAGAGGCGACTAACGGGGTCCGGCGGTCACGCTCGCTGACTTGGTTCATGAACTCCATCGTATCCAAATTGGGTAGATCATTGCTTATACTATCAATCACTGGATTGTCTGGTCACGACGATTATCTACAGACCGCCACCATATACATAGCTGGAATATTGGTGAGTGCGGCATTAAAAAACAAACTAAAGCATGTGTCTCTATCTTCAAAACATCGATGGCCCGAAATTTTAAAAATGCATGACAGCTTTAAAAAACCCATTTCTGACTTGTGTGAAAGCGCTGAACTATTAGTTTCATTGAGACACGATAGACGTGCATCAGCTTTTTAAATCATCAGACTGGTATAGATACACTGCGTCTGTGTCTGTTTCGTGTCTGTGGATACGAGGCCTGTTAATTTACAGTTTTCGTTCATGCATATAGCCCAAGTATCACTGTGTCTAAGTCTGGACTCAAACCATACCCTTTTGAATGCTACAACTGAATGTGTATATTTTTACTATCTTACTGTCCCCTCTCTGTTGTATATAAGTACATATGATGAATTTGATCATTGAGCATCTCCCTCAGTGATGTGGATTTTGCGCTATATGAATAGTCATATTATTTTCATCATCATCATCATCATTATCATCATCATCATCATCATCATTATATTATTATTATTATTATTATAACTGCTACTACTACTACTACTACTACAAGTACTACTACAAGTACTACTACTACTACTACTACTACTACTACTTAAAACCGTAATCAAACAAAGTGCGCAGTGCAGTTTAACCCTGTGGAATCGAATGGGGGCGGTCGGGTAGCCTAGTGGTTAAAGCGTTCGCTTGTCACGCCGAAGACCCGGGTTCGATTCCCGACATGGGAACAATGTGTGAAGCCCAATTCTGGTGTCCCCCCGCCGTGATATTACTGGAATATTGCTAAAAGCGGCGTAAAACCATACTCACTCACCCATAGTCGAAACCAGCCGTTATGTACGTATACAACTCACAGATGAATAAATAAATATAAAATATTCAAAAGATATAAAAGAACCCCCGTATTATATGATTATAATTAATCTGTCACAGCTGGTGGTTATTGTAACACACATCCTTCCAACTGTGGTTGTTCTTTAACTTGTATTGAGTTGTGTCAAATACTGACACTGCTTGTCGGAGGTATGGCGTTATCAAATAACAATACTGACAATACCTTGAGTTATTCCGGTAACAAACACTATTTTGTCTGCATGTGGGTTTGAAAATCCCGTGACAAGTGCTTTGTGAAAACAGTGTTATGATGTCTGGCCTGTAAGTTTTGAAAATCATATTTTTACCCAAAAGAAAATAAGGACCAACCGATTCTTTCATATTGCTGTAGTTGATCTGTCACGTCATGGCGGATTAATAACATGACATGAACGAATCTAGTGTTCTGTATATTATTTGAGTAGTATATATGAAAAACGGACTGGCCTTAATCAGTTAATGCTGAAAGAATATGAGTGAGTGAGTGAGTTGGGTTTGACGCCTCTTTTAACAGTATTCCAGTTATATCACGGCGTGTCAGCTTAATGTGGGAGGAAAGCCCGAAGTGATGCAGGTCTCAGACGTTTACGACAACGGTGAAACCCACGAGCACGGGTATGGTGCTGACAAACCTAGAAACATAATCGGGGCGAACCGGGATTCGAACCCACAATCATAGGTTTCTGGCGTGCACAGCGAATCGCGGCGCCTTAGACGACTGGGCCACCCGTGACTCCGAAAGAACATGAATAAATATGTTGCAACATTGATGACAGCTGTATATCAGTGTCTACACCTGTGGTCAGTGAGTTGGGCCATACTCCGGTATTACGCGGCGGGAACAATGAGGGGATCGAACCGCATCTTCGACGTGACACACGACCGCTTTAACCACTGGACTACCCTAAAGCCCCAACCTCTATCCACACATTACAGGAAACTATCTCAAAAAGCTCATACAAATGTACAAAATCTATATTGTACAGCTCACTAAATTTCCGTGAAGGTTCGTTTACAAAAACATATTGATATAAACTGACTTTCAAAAGACAATTGGATTTGACAACAAAATTACAAACATTATCAAAAGATTAATAGACTGAAAAAAGTTGCCAAAACATTGCAAAGGTAAGGTCCTAAACATAACTACCTCACATTTCCATCAAACAACCATTTTTTGTGTGTTCATTTTAGCCATATTATATGGGTGTATACTCTCTTTTGCCGTCAGTTTAATAAAAAATGTAATTGGTTTCTCACCTGAAGAATGAATGCGTTTTTCTGTAAAGTGGACCAGAGGTAGAGGGGTGACTGTGACCACCAGGTCTGGCGACTGTCTGTTACGCTGTGTCACGCCGGTGTGTTTCAGGACTTTCCCGTTACAGATAACGATTTGGCACAGATACATGTGTCGGCCAGTGCTTTACGTGGTTGGGTGTTGATGGATTGAGTGTGAGAAATATGGAGTGAGTGAGTATGGTTTCTCGCCGCTTTTAGCAATATTCCAGCATTACTACGGCGAGGGTCACCGGAAAATGGGCTTCACACATTGTACCCATGTGGGAATTGGATCCGGGTCTTCGGCGTGACGCTTTAACCACTAGGCTACCTCAACGCCCGGAGGAATATGGAGAGTGGGTGGGAGTAGAGAGAGTTGGGTGGTTGGGACATGGAGAGTGGGTGGGGTTAGAAGGAGGTGGATGGTGGGGACATGGAGAGTGGTAGGGGTAGAGAGAGGTGGATGGTGGGGACATTGAGAGTGGATGGGGGTAGAGAGAGGTGGAAGGTGGGGACATGGAGAGTGGTAGGGGTAGAGGGAGGTGGATGGGTGGGGACATGGAGAGTGGTAGGGGGTAGAGGGAGGGGTATGGGTGGGGACATGGAGAGTGGTAGGGGGTAGAGAGAGGTGGATGGTGGGGACATGGAGAGTGGTAGGGGGTAGAGAGAGGTAGATGGTGGGGACATGGAGAGTGGTAGGGGGTAGAGAGAGGTAGATGGTGGGGACATGGAGAGTGGATGGGGGTAGAGAGAGGTAGATGGTGGGGACATGGAGAGTGGATGGGGGTAGAGAGAGGTGGATGGTGGGGACATGGAGAGTGGTAGGGGGTAGAGAGAGGTGGATGGTGGGGACATGGAGAGTGGTAGGGGGTAGAGAGAGGTGGATGGTGGGGACATGGAGAGTGGTAGGGGTAGAGAGAGGTGGATGGTGGGGACATGGAGAGTGGTAGGGGTAGAGAGAGGTGGATGGTGGGGACATGGAGAGTGGTAGGGGTAGAGAGAGGTGGATGGTGGGGACATGGAGAGTGGTAGGGGTAGAGAGAGGTGGATGGTGGGGACATGGAGAGTGGTAGGGGGTAGAGGGAGGTGGATGGTGGGGACATGGAGAGTGGTAGGGGTAGAGGGAGGTGGATGGGTGTGGACATGGAGAGTCGGTACGGCTGGAAAGAGGTGGATGGGTTGGGGGTGTAGAGAGGATGGGAGTTGAGGGAAAGAGTGGGAAGATAGAGAGGGTAGGAGGGTGGGTGGGGAGTGGAGGACCAGCTTGATCATGCTTGATGTATGAGGAGTGCCGGGGGTGAGGCAGGTGTTGACAAACGCCACACGCCGTCGGAGTAGGGGGAGGGGGGCACTTAATCACCCAATTCACCGAGACTGGCCACCCGAACGTTACGTCGCCTCTCACAAGCACATGTTGCTGGAAACCTACACTAGCCTGGAATTCAAGCTTTCCTCCCGCCTTGACACAACTCTTATATGGTGTTCAAAACGACGTTAAACGACACTCACTCACTCTGTCCCGAAATCGTGAATCCCTATGGGGTGAAATAATCGTGAATACATGTGATAAATATTCGTTTAGGACGGAAAGGAAACAAGATTACAACCGAGTTCAATGATAAAGTGTTTGAAGGCAAGTTTCGTTATCAATGGAAGGTCACTTGAAGGGGGATTTGGTTAACCTTCGTTAACGTCGCGCCAGAGGAGCCCAGGCGACAGACCTGTCCAGAAAACAAATATTGGGGAGATAAGCATTCTGATTAAGAATGAGGAGTGGGTCGGGAGGGAATGCTGGATTGCGACAGACTGCAGGTCACGTGTCGCGAGTCGCCAGTGACACTCACGTGATTCTGGGTGACGGAGGTCACCTTCGTGTTGACTCATTCAGTGTGAGCCAGAGTGTTGTATGTGATTAATGTCGGTACAGTGTAATACTAGATAAAAAGAAAAGAAAGTTTGCGTAGTCACTGGTACTTGCATGATTGCCCTATAAAGCGTCCATGCTTACAGGTACAATATATATATATAACATGTCCCATTTTAATTCTGGAGACCCATTTGTCCAGAAACTCTCCGTGCTTTGGCCAGCCTCGTTCGAGGATAATTACAAAATTCAACATGCTGTTTTCCTGGAAATACACTAAGGAAGAAAAAATGAAAAAAAATGTTTTAAAAAAGTCAAAATTTAAACTCCTCTATAAATGTGCGCATGCTACTTAGTATTAAATATATATGCTTGGAATTATAATAGTGTGCAAGTTTACAAGTACTCAGATATACATGTTTGCCATAATTTATAAAAGTGTGAATGTTTATCACTGCTTATGTGTGCATATTTACAAGTTTTTAAATATGCATGTTTGCCCTTATAAAAGTGCGCATGTTTATCAGTGCTTATGTGTGCATATTTACAAGTATTTAAATATACATGTTTGCCCTTATGAAAGGGCGCATGTTTATTAATGCTTATGTGTGCATATTTACAAGTATTTAAATATGCATGTTTGCCCTTATAAAAGTGCGCATGTTTATTAATGCTTATGTGTGCATATTTACAAGTATTTAAATATGCATGTTTGCCCTTATAAAAGTGCGCATGTTTATCAATGCTTATGTGTGCATATTTACAAGTATTTAAATATACATGTTTGCCCTTATAAAAGTGCGCATGTTTATTAATGCTTATGTGTGCATATTTACAAGTATTTAAATATGCATGTTTGCCCTTATAAAAGGGCGCATGTTTATTAATGCTTATGTGTGCATATTTACAAGTATTTAAATATACATGTTTACCCTTATAAAAGTGCGCATGTTTATCAATGCTTATGTGTGCATATTTACAAGTATTTAAATATACATGTTTGCCCTTATAAAAGTGCGCATGTTTATTAATGCTAATGTGTGCATATTTACAAGTATTTAAATATACATGTTTGCCCTTATAAAAGTGTGCACGCTTACTTGTCTTTAATCAATGTTCGCTGCTGTAAAAGTGCGCATATTTATTAGTATTTAAAAAGACATATCTGCCGCTATATAAGTGTGAATTCTTTTTAGACTAAGTATTGAAATAGGCATGGTTGCTCATATAGAAGTGTGTATGCTCATCAGTGCTAATGTGTGCATATCTATTTGCATTTAAATATACATGCGTGTCCCTATAAATGTGCGCATGTTTACTAGTACTTAAATATATATGCTTGCCACCATAAAAGTGCGCATGTTTACTTGTACTTAAATATATATGCTTGCCACCATAAAAGTGCGCATGTTTACTAGTACTTAAATTTATATGCTTGCCACCATAAAAGTGCACATGTTTACTTGTACTTAAATATACTTGTTTGTCACAATAAAATAATATTCATTATCCAAAACTGGCCTCCAACAGCCGATATCGCTTGGGTGAGATCAAACCACGTTAGACTATATATATCCTAGGAGTGAATATACGTATAGGTGCTGATTTTCCTCTTGTGTATTTTATTTAGCAATTTGTAATTTAAATTTATTGTGGGTTTCAAACACAACCACAGCCACGCATCTGTCTGGACACAACACTGGGACCATAAATTGAATCACAATGCTCTGGAGACTATCAGGACAATGACGTCACAATCAAAGGACGTCACATATCCCACGTCCACTGAAGCTGGTCAGTTGTATTTTGTACACTCAAGACACTGGTAACGAGGGCTGGTTAAAAAGTTCTAAGCCTAACAAACAAAGCCAACACTTGTGAAAGTTTTTTAAATTTTATTTTTCCTCATAATCTCCCTTATTTTCCATACGCTTCTCATATCGATAGTGCAGCTTTTCAATTCCAGTCAGGAAGAATCTTTCTGAAGTCACCTTGATAAACTCATTCACGGCAGCTTTGAGGTCATCGTTGTCGTCACAGCGCTTTCAACGAAGGTGTTCTTTTAGTCTGGGAAACAGGTGGAAATCCCTTGGTGCCAGGTCTGGCGAGTATGGAGGGCGAGGAAGCTCTTCGAACCCACATTGTCGCTTAGCAGTCTTTGCAAGTCGAGAGGTGTTAGAAGAGGCATTGTCATGAAGTCGTAGAACTCCAGCAGTCAGCATTCCTCGCCGCTTTTCTTTGATATATTCCCTCAGGCGATGAAGCAAATCAGCATAGTAGGCACCGGTAATCGTCTTTTGACTTACTAAGTAATCAACTTTCCTCACTGATCTTGAAGACTTGAATTTCTTTGGTGCCGGAGAGGTGGAATGGTGCCATTCCACTGATTGACGTTTTGGCTCGGGATCAGTTTTCATCACCCGTTACTAATCTCTTTTTGAATTTGGCGAAATCCTCCTCAATTAGCTATAAATTTGTTCAGTTCCTCTTTCCTTAACATCAGAATTTAGAAACTTTTATTCATCTGTAATTATAAATCTTTATGAATAATAGTTTCAATGGATCCTGTGACCTGTGTCTTCCTCAAGTTCAGCAATGGAAATATGTCAAGCTGACAGTATAAGTTTTTTCTATCTCCTTGATTGAATCTTCATTGGTGGAAGTTGAGGGACGTCCAGACCTAGGGTCATCATCAAGGCTTGTTCTTCCAGCCTAAAACATAGCTGCCCAACGTTTAACAGTGGAATAGTTAGGGCACCTACCCCTATACCCTTACGACATGCGGTCATTAATTTCTTGGGGAGCACTTTTATCTAAAGTCAAAAACTTGATCACTGCTCGGCACTCGTTCTTTTCAATTTATGTGTCCATTTGGACCCCTATCACGTTCAACTGGCTGTCACTAATACACAAACGACCCCAACAGACCAAATACACTTGCAATAAACTACTCAAACAATGTACTACATTGACTAGTTCACTTTGTTATGGCCCATAGTTGAAAATCAGTCAGGCTTAGAACTTTTTGACCAGCATTCGTATTACTGATTTTGGGAGATTAATAGATTTTCATCCTCGTGTGTTTTGATATCAAGTATGTATCAACACTCACTGATAAAAAATATTAAACTCATCGGCAAGCCTCGGAGTTGCCTTATTGTTAGTGTTACCAGTCAGCTCGTTATTACATACAGCCCAATCACGTCACCTTCAAAGTAGACCCGTGAAGATTCCGGGATAGAATAGGTCTTCAGCAACCCATGCTTGCCGTAAAAGGCGACTATGCTTGTCGTAACAGGCTCGCTGACTTGGTTGATGCATATCATCGATCCCAATTGCGTGGATCGATGCTCATGATATTAATCACTGGATTGTCTGGTCTAGACTCGATTATTTACAGACCGCCGTCATATAGCTGGAATATTGCTGAGTGCGGCGTTAAACAACAAACCAACCAACCAACCTTCAAAGTACATTATTTGCTTCTATCCTGTTAATCTCATTGACTTCGTCATTACATTGCTATCTTTATACATTAATCCTTCATTGTGTAAACATATCATCATGTACTTATAATATAGTTTAACTCTATACGCTAACTCAGTATTCACGTGATGAGTGAGTGAGTGAATGAGTGAGTGAGGTTTAACGCCGCTTTTGACAGTATGCCAGTTATATCGCGGCGTGTCAGCTTAATAATGTGGGAGGAAAGCTCAAAGTGATGCAGGTCTTAGACGTTTACCACTTCGGTGAAACCAACGAGCACGGGTATGGTGCTGACAAACCTAGAAACATAATCGGGGCGAACCGGGATTCGAAACCACAATCACAGGTTTCTGGTGTGCCCAAGGGACGCAACTCTGCACAGCGAATCGCGACGCAAGACGACTGGGCCACCCATGCCCCCTATTCACGTGATGAAGGGACAAGAAGTAGGTCTGAAACGTCCTTAGAAAGAATAAAAGAACGTGTTATCCACAAAAAAAAGTGTTATGTATTATTTGTATCGACTTTGTGTTGATATATTTCAGATAAAGAAATACGAGGGATATTTTTTGTTTCATGTCTCCGAAATTTCAGTCACTTCGCGAGGAAATAACAATTTAATTAATCGCTGTAATATCCGCACAGGGATGACAAATGCAATTCACACGTTTTCCATCGTTTACTAGATAAAACCATCATACACACATATGACACACGTGCCGGAAATGACGACACCACGTGACTCATCCTAATATGGAAGCTGATTACTCCCGTCACCTAAATAAAACAAAATCAATATATATGTAACATTATGTGGGCGGGGCATAGGTATTCGGACTCAACGCTTGAGGTTCGGGTTTGCGACCGTGTTTGTTTCAGACATACACAACATGGTGTGTTCTGTTTAGTAAATGTTTAGATACGGATCAATATACAAACCAAATGTGTTTTTGTTGTCCGGAAACCTGTGACCCTATGATAATGATTATTAGGGATGTTAGATGTTAAACAACTGAACCTCGATAGTCAGAAAAAACCCGCCTCCTTGACCTTGTAATTTGAGGGACATCCATACGTAATTACACAGTGCACAGATATTACTAAGCTCTCATGATTTGAAGGGGGGCCGACCATTTGATGGATGAAGTCCAATTGGATTAACGACGCGTTCAAAATTCTTTCACTATAAGAGTGCGTGCGTGTGTGCGTGTCTACTTGTTTTAGTCAGGACTAATGTCGGTTTTATAGTTCTAGCCCACTGAAATAAAATGCTGCAGTTTAACATGGAAGGTGACAACAAGGCTCATGTAACGATATTCATTGGAGTAGCGTGTGTGCGTGCGTGTGTATGTGTGTGCGTGTGTGTGCGTGTGCATAATATTTTTGTTTTTCTAGACATCCAGCGTCTGCATTTAACAGTAACAATGGAGAACCTATTTTTTTCCAAATTTATCAAATGGTCGGTCCCTCATCCCAATTTTTATTTATCAGTATGATACCGTCCATATAAACGGGGTTACAGTATATAGTGATTGTTCCACATTTAAATGAAAGTTCAAAGAGAACAACACATACCAAGTCTCACAGATTTAGCACTACCTCACGACGCCTCACTCAGGACTAGACTATACACACTCTCTCAAATACAACCATGAACGGAATGTGAAGTTATATATCACAATATGTCGAGGTGATATTTTACATATATATATATATCTCCCTGCCGGAGATTCACGGAAAATCCCGAAGTTGCTCCGAATGAGGGATTCGATTAGCAATGTCCCACGTGTTGATTCAGCTAGATCTCATGACTCAACATCCAGTGGCAACACTTGGATGTCGCAACAAAACACGAACTAGCAACAAGAACAAACACTGTCTTAGATGGAGTCGAATTTCTTGGTGTCAGGTCTCATCTCCAGTATAAAGACAGTAGAGATGACTGTCGCGAAGAGGAACACTACAAACAACAGCCTATCCAGCACAAAGGCAACGTCCCGCCACTCTCGGAAAATCTCGTCCTCCTTCAACTCCTCAATATGCTTTTTATGGATAAGATTCATGAGTTGTCTCACGACAGAACTATAATTATTTGACGACACACATTCCATAACGGTTGGCACAGGACGTTCGCTAGAGTGACCTCCCCTTGCTTCCATAGGTGGCGTTTCTACCTGCTCTATAGAATCTGGTTTCGGTGCGTCGAGTTTGACGAACTCCTGGTCCTCCATGGCGACGCGACACTTCTTGGAGGTTTTCTTGTCCTTGTTGGCTTGACGACGCCTCCTGGTTTGTTGACCTGGCTTCTTGATGCAGAGCACGGGGGAGAGGACGGTGAAGCTGACGATTTTCAGCCAGTGGGGCACGTGCTTGGGCTGTCCTCGCTGGTGGTGGATGCCGAGGACAAGGACAGAGGACAGGACCGACAGACAACTTGTTGCCAGGACAACCATCAGATAGATACCTGGAATGATAAATAAGAACGTCTTTTTTTACTTACAAATATTATATTTTGTGCCACGAAGATATTTCCATACAGGACCATGGGCAAAAGACAGTATGCACTTGAAAACTGGATTTGACCCCAAAAATACAAACGTTATCAAAGCGTTCCTAAGGTAAAACAGTCCTAGAGACGTATGGTCCTCAACACAACTTGATAGCCGTACTAAATACATCACCATCGATAAACCATTTGTTTCATTTTAAGCCTCCATCAACCAGAAATGTGTACTTTGTTTTGCCCGACAGTGTACTATTGGTGAATATACGATACAACCTAATAATATTATGAATATTTTATTAAGTTTAACTTTACAGGGTTAATTGTTCATATCTTACACTCCCCATACCAGTACATCTGAGAATATTTATGACTCGTTTCAGATGTAGCAAGTTTAAACTTGCAATTGACTTGGGGAGATACACAAATGTCCCATACACTGAACGATTATGTAAATACTGTTTAGAAAATGGTATATCTTTTATTGAAGATGAATTTCATGTTTTACTTGTATGTGAGCGTTATTCAGCCCTGAGAAATATGTATCTTAAACAGTATATCAATTTTTAAACTGTAAAATCTTTTACTGAAATTATTTCATCAGAAAATTTTGATGTTGTATATTACACATGTTTATATCTATATAAAGTCCAACGGCTAAGAGAAACTTAAATCGACTACTTCCTTGGCATGCGTAGTTCATGCCATCAACCATTGTCTGTATTATGGGCCTATGGCCTTCTTACTGAATAAACTGTCTGTCTGTCTGTCTGTCTGTTCATAACGAACGTTCGAGTTGTATACAAATGTGTTTTTCATTAAATAAGTTAAAAGCGGAAAAGAAATTTTGTTTTGCAAAAATATTATAAGGAAAAGTTTCTCGGGTATCGGCGCGTCACTTTAAATCAATCTTGCTCGGCAGTCATTATTATTGCGAATACAGGGTTATGTTTTATACGTCCCGTGTCCTATGAAGCAGACTCCGTCATCTATGTAATGAACAGAAAGTACACTGACATTGTATTAAAGAACCAAGTACATTCGTCAGAGGGAGTGAGTGAGTGAGTTTGGTTTTACGCCGCTTTAAGCAATATTCCAGCAATATCACGACGAGGGACACCAGAAATGGGCTTGACACATTGTACCCATGTCGAGAATCGAACCCGGGTCTTCGGCGTGACGAGCGAACGCTTTAACCACCCAAACGCCCCTTCATTCGTCAGAGGGATCAATATGAGTAGGTAAACAAATAACAGTGAGTGAGTATGGTTTACGCCGCCTTTTGTAGCATTTTTCAGCAATATGACGGCGGGGGACACCATAAATTGGCTCCACACATTGAACCCATGTCGGGAATGGATTCCGGGCCTTTGGCCTGACGAGTAAACGCTTTAACCACTAGGCTACCCGACCGCCCTAACAAATAAGAGAAGGAAGTTATTGTGACAACATGATGGACAGGAAACAGAAAACCAATATATCAGTTAAACCGGATTAAATATCAGGTGGGATGGAGAAAAGAAACTATTGCCTCATAAATTCATAATAGGCCGAAGTAATGAAATAGCCAAGATCTCTGTTGAAAGCTCCACCTCTCTCAATACCCAAGGGCAGAAACTCCACCAAGCCCCCAACACACGAGGGTGTACTTTACAAAAATGACTGTGACTGTGGACAATCCTATGGAGGCGAAAGACCCCGCCCCATCAACACCAGAATGAAAGAGAACAAACAGTAAATCAGCCATCTCGAACGAATGATAATTGTTGTTACTGTTAATCCTGCATCCGCCATATTAAATTCTGTACCATGTACATTATTCAGTTTTGCTTAACAAAGGTATAAGGATCTATGCCGATTTTAATTCTGGAAACTCATTCGTCTATAAACTCTCCATTCTGTGGTCAGTCAGTGTCAAAGGTATTTACAAAATGCAACAAGCTGTTTCCATGTTTAAATATTTTGATTAACGCCACAAATTAGTTGAATTAAATTAAAATGAGTTGAATTATGTGTCATGATGCTTGTAGATACATCTTTATGTATTTGAAAAAAAAATGAGTTTGTAGCAAAGGAAACCATTCTTGTTCAGGGGCGACTTATTATTTTGAGTTTTCGAAACATTTCTTTGATATTTTCTTTCTTAGTATGTACCCAAGAAAACAGCATGTTGAATTTTGTAAAAAAAAAAATGACACGAGACTGGCCACAGCAAATGAAATTCCAGACGTGTTCGATCTGACTTACTAATGACTGATATCGACTCCGAGGTCTGTGGCATCTTGTCGGCCACCATGAGCATGAAGACGGTGATGGTGAGGAGGACCGAGAGCCCAAGGGTGATCTTCTCCCCGCTCTCCGGGGGCAGCAGGAAGCCCGCCAGGCACAGGAACGACAGGATGATGCAAGGGATGATGATGTTCATGAAGTAGTACTTGATGCGCCTGCGCAGATGGATGTAAAACGTCACATCCGGGAAGGGTTCATCGCAACAATTGTACACCACGACGTTGCGCTGGACCTTGACTCCTATCAACTCCCATTCGCCGTTGTCGACGAAGTTGGAGAGATCCATTGTGTGGGATCGGTTCCATACGTCAACCTGAAACAGAGCGTTTTAATATTGTTTCAGTGAGTGAGTGAGTTGGGTTTAACGCCGCTTTTAACAGTATTCCAGTCATATCGCGGCGTGTCAGCTTAATGTGGGAGGAAAGCCCAAAGTGATGCAGGTCTCAGACGTTTACCACTTCGGTGAAACCCACGAGCACGGGTATGGTGCTGACAAACCTAGAAACATAATCGGGGCGAACCGGGATTCGAACCCACAATGATAGGTTTCTGGCGTGCCAAGGGACGCAACTCTTCACAGCGAATCGCGGCTCCTTAGACGACTGGGCAACCCATGCCCCCGTTTTATTGTTTCACGTTACAGTTAGGGACAGTCTATTTGATATTGAAAAAAACATATATTGTCCCGGAAAATGAAATATATAATAATGCTTAAGGCTTGGAAATAAATATGTTCCACAGTTTTTAAAAAGAAAGATACCTGGTTTTGCAGCTGTAGCTGAACAAATATCTCTATTTGGCTAAGACTATACAAATTCCAGACCTCCTCCAGAATCTCATTAAACATATCCTAGCTCTTTGAGGCTAGATGTGTGAAATGGAGTTTAACGCCGCGTTCAAGATTATTGCACTTATATAGTGACGTGTGTGTGTGTGTGTGTGTGTGTGTGCGTGTGCGTGTGTGAGCGTGCGTGCGTGCGTGCGTGCGTGTGTGCGTGTGTGGGTGTGCTTGTACTAGTCCGGACTCATGCCGATTTTATAGTGATTACCCCACTCAGACACAGCTCTCCGGGCAGACGCTCTACCAGCAGACCACGGAGACGGTCCTTTAGCGTGAAGAGAGGACTACTACTGGTTGGAGTGGAGGGGGTGGGGTGGAGGAGACACAGGCACAGGCACGTGTAGAGTCTATCAGGAAGAGTGTAGAGTTGCGCCCCCTGGTCCACTGTTCGCGCCGTACTTAAATAGTGCTAAAAGCCGCATTTAGCCTCACTCACTAAGTCACTCACTCACTCTCACTGCCCATCCATTGTCTGAGCACTCCAACCCATACCGTAGCAGTAATACAACTTTACATGTTTTATGTATGGGAGGATGGTTTATGTATGGGAGGTTGAAAGGGTCATATTTCGAGATAATCGCGCTTCTGACGTTGTCTTAACTATAATGAGGAGATTAGTCCACAGACTTAGTAGCCACACAAGTATCGATGAAGTTAAGGAAGGCCACAAGGGTCATCTCCACAGATAATGACTAGTTACGGAACGCCGACAGGGGCATGTTGCCAAGATAAGGGGATAATTGGAAGTATTATAACGCTGGTAAGATTCAACACGCTGTTTGGGCGTGCGCGGACATACGGTTCCCGAGATGCAGCGTTTCATGTGCCCCGGATGCGCAGGGAGGGACCCGATGTTCAAAGCTCTCACAATGTCAGCTGTTTGATCTGTCATGGTGATAAGGCCTACAAATGACATTCAACATCCATCTCTGCTTAAAAACCAAATTAGATTTTTTTTAGGCAAATCATCCGAATGCATCTCTTTTTAGATTTGCAGTGGTTAAACACACGAACATACTGAATAATTTCTTGTTTATTTTTTGCCATTAGAAGATTTTGTTTGTACTTTCGAGATCAAAATATCAAATTATTAAAAAGACAGAATCCGTTTGACATTACAGATCGCTCTTCCTATCATCCGATTGGAATCTGATGACTTCAGTTCACTGATCTAATCCATTAAGTTTGTTCTAATCCAGGCTTCGGATAGGGCAGGTTTTCAGTCTCCGTTTCAGTAATGGTTCCTTTTAGTAAGATTTAACTATTCCCCGAACCGTAGAAATCTCCTGAACTTGAAGTGTTTGATCCCGATTCAAAGACATGGCAAACGAAAACACGTTAAATGACATATTTGAAGGCTGTTATACCAGAAACTGCCATCAAGGACTGTTTTCGAGTTGTTTTCTCATTAAGCCGATACTTCAAGAGTTGTCTGAACCGACTTAATTCCTTACACCTTATACCGTCACACTGTCAGTCACTCACGCCATCAACACACAATGTGGGAAACTTGCTTTGGTATATTTCCCTTGGTGATGACATGACCAGTATATTTTCCTTAGTGATGATGTGACCGGTATTTTCCCTTAGTGATGATGTGACTGGTATATTTCCCTTAGTGATGATGTGACCGGTATTTTTCCCTTAGTCATGATATGACCAGTATATTTCCCTCAGTGATGATATAACCAGTATATTTCCCCCAGTGATTATGTAACCGATATTTCCCTTGGTGATGATGTGACTGGTATATTTCCCTTGGTGATGGTCTGACTGTTATATTTCCCTTAGTGATGATATACCCGGTATATTTCCCCCAGTGATGATATAACCGGTATATCTCCCTTAGTGATGATATAACCGGTATATTTCCCCCAGTGATGATATAACGGATATATCTCCCTTGGTGATGATGTGACCGGTCTATTTCCCTTAGTAAAGATCTGACTGTTATATTTCCCTTAGTGATGATATAACCGGTATATTTCCCCCAGTGATGATATAACGGATATATCTCCCTTGGTGATGATGTGACCGGTCTATTTCCCTTAGTAAAGATCTGACTGTTATCTTTCCCTTAGTGATGATATAACCGGTATATTTCCCCCAGTGATGATATAACGGATATATCTCCCTTGGTGATGATGTGACCGGTCTATTTCCCTTAGTAATGATCTGACTGTTATATTTCCCTTAGTGATGATATAACCGATATAGCTGTTTGATCTTTTTTTAGGTAAATCATCCGAATGCATCTCTTATTAGATTTGCAGTGGTTAAAGTCACTCACTCACTCACCCACCCACTCACTCACTCACTCACTCACGCCATCACGTCAGGATACGTGAGGTCTTACCTGGAACCCGTTATACGCCCACGATCCAAGCTTCAGTTTACACAGCTGGTCGTCGAAGGGGAAGAATGTGATGTCGATCTTGCACGAGCTGCGGAACCTTACGACAGGGCCCCAGAACACCCGGCTGTCGTTATACACCATAGCGAGGCTCGGCATGTACCCGGATGTGTAGTCGTCCACGCTGAAACACGAGTTCGTTAGCATAAGAAACCTCCTAAAATACTTCGGTTAACGATCGCAAAATCATAACAAGCTTTACTCCCAGGAACGAATAAATCATTTTTTTCTTCCGTCGCCGATGACGTATTATGTTTTGTCATTTTGAATACACTCCCTGGACGTCACCGACTCGTCTTCATCCCGTCAACACACAGGTATTTTACGAACGTTTCGTTCGGTTAAATGTGTTACTATCACCTCAACATTCGAGTTGAGAACTTGAGTATCATATTGATCCCAATCGAAATACCAAGAGTGTATGTTGCGAAATCTGTAGCGTAAAACTAAAGGAAATTGGCTGTTCATCTAGTTTGTACACAGACGTCGAAAGAAAGTCTACAAATCATTCGTTGTGTCGGTACAGACACCACAGACACCACGTGGATTACATGTATTCACATTCTAAATGTGGCCCCGCCTCTTTGCATGGATCAAACGGTAAACGTTCTCCCTGTCATACAGGTGGGTACACCCAACAGGGCTTAAGCATGGGTCACACCATGCATGGTTTATACACGTGAATCACACCCTGCGTGTGACCCCGCTCCTTACATGTAAGTCACACCATATATGGCTGAAACGTGTGTCACAACTTACATCGCTTGTACATCTGATGACATCCAACATGCCTTATATATGTGAGTCACACCATAGATGCCTTATACATGTGAGTCAGACCCAACATAACGTATACATGTGAGTCACATTCCAGAAGAAGTAATTCGCCACTTCTCCAGGGCGATGCCGTTTGTACGTATCAACTGTCCTCAAGGGGGAGGTAACTCGTCACTTCTCCAGGGCGATGCCGTTTGTAAGTATCAACTGTCCTCAAGGGGGAGGTTACTAGTCACTTCTCTAGGGCGATGCCGTTTGTACGTATCAACTGTCCTCAAGGGGGAGGTAACTCGTCACTTCTCCAGGGCGATGCCGTTTGTACGTATCAACTGTCCTCAAGGGGGAGGTAACTCGTCACTTCTCCAGGGCGATGCCGTTTGTACGTATCAACTGTCCTCAAGGGGGAGGTAACTCGTCACTTCTCCAGGACGATGCCGTTTGTACGTATCAACTGTCCTCAAGGGGGAGGTAATTCGTCACTTCTCTAGGGCGATGCCGTTTGTACGTATCAACTGTCCTCAAGGGGGAGGTAACTCGTCACTTCTCCAGGGCGATGCCGTTTGTACGTATCAACTGTCCTCAAGGGGGAGGTAACTCGTCACTTCTCTAGGGCGATGCCGTTTGTACGTATCAACTGTCCTCAAGGGGGAGGTAACTCGTCACTTCTCCAGGGCGATGCCGTTTGTACGTATCAACTGTCCTCAAGGGGGAGGTAACTCGTCACTTCTCCAGGGCGATGCCGTTTGTACGTATCAACTGTCCTCAAGGGGGAGGTAACTCGTCACTTCTCCAGGACGATGCCGTTTGTACGTGTCAACCGTCCTCCAAGGGGAGGTAACTCACCTGTTTTCCTCCAAGGGGAGGTAACCTACCACTTCTCCAGTCCGATGTCGAAACTATATATCGGTATGTGGTCTCTGGTGCGTGTTAACCGTCCTCCAAGGGGAGTTAACTCACCTGTTTTCCTCCAAAGGGAGGTAGCCTACCACTTTTCCAGTCCCATGTCGAAACCACATATCGGTATGTGGTCTCTGGAACGTGTTAAGACCCGTGAAGATTCCGGGGTAGAATAGGTCTTCAGCAACCCATGCTTGCCGTAAAAGGGGACTAACGGGATCGGGGGGTCAGGCTCGCTGACTTGGTTGATGCATGTTCTCGATCACAATTGCGTGGATCGATGCTCATGACATTAATCACTGGATTGTCTGGTCCAGACTCGATTATTTACAGACCGCCGTCATATAGCTGGAATATTGCTGAGTGCGGCGTTAAACAACAAACAAACAAACAAATGGGACGTGTTAAGCAAGGGGAGGTAACTCACCTGTTGTACAGCACGATGTCTGGCAGCCATATCTTCTCGCACGGGATCCTGATGGAGGTGATGTCTCCGAACAGACTGGAATTCCAGTTCAGTCTCTCGTCGTACCATTCCTGGAACACAACGCACCATGACAACTTTCGATTTCCGGCAGGGGTAAATGAATCCTAACCAAGTCACATCCTTTGACGACGTATCTGTAACCATTAAATGCACAAGTCCTCTTCCTGTTTATTCCCGTGAATACTCCCTTTCCCCTTTAGCATTACTACTACCGTTCCCTGCGGAAAGTGAGTGAGTGAGTGAGTGAGCTGTGCTTAACGCCGCTTTTAACATTATTCCAGTTATATCGCGGCGTGTCAGCTTAAAGTGGGAGGAAAGCCCGAAGTGATGCAGGTCTCAGACGTTTACCACTTCGGTGAAACCCACGGGCACGGGTATGGTGCTGACAAGCCTAGAAACATAATTTGGGCGAACCGGGATTCGAACCCACAATCATAGGTTTCTGGTGTGCCCAAGGGACGCAACTCTGCACAGCGAATCGCGGCGCCTTAGTCGACTGGGCCACCCGTGCCCCCCACCTGCGGAAAGCGTTCAGAGAAACAACTTTCCCTGTTCATGGGAACAGAATGGATTGCGTGTCATCGTACTTGCATCGATGCTCATGATGTCAGTCACTAGATTATTTACTGTCAGCCGTCAAATAGCTGAAATATTGCTAAGTGTAGCGTTAAACAACAAAAACAGTATGGCAGCTCGTAAGTCCATTTATACTGCGCCAGATTCCATTCACCGAGTTAATGCTCATGGCGCTACATAGTTTTAGCAAATATTGCTAATGAAAGGGGAGTAGAGTTGATGGTGTTGTCTGAAAAGGTGTGTTTTCAGAGGAGCCTTAAAGGATTAAAAAAAGCGATGGCGACAGCTTAAGATCAGATGGTAGTTTGTTCCACAGCGAGGAAGCGCAGATCTGGAAAGATCTCTGACCAAAGGTTTTGAGACGGGTTTCCGGGACTTGTAACATGTTGTTATTCTTCTCCGAGAACGGAAAGATCTGGAAGGCCTGTATATAGGCAGTAGTTCGGATGCACACATATTCGCGAACACCGGGCGTCATCACTATTTGATGGTGATTCATGAAATTATGCTTGTGATACAGACTGATTGTGCTTATGGAAAGGGTTCTGTTGCTGTTTATTTTCACTGTTAGAATGTAGGACCCTCGCAATAGATTATTGCCTAGGCGTAATAATACCTATACCCTAACGTCATGTAGCCCTGTCTGTACTTCATAGAAAACGAACAACATTCATCGCAAACAGTAATATGCAGTTATATTGATAGTGAGGGATTACACCTTGGCAGTTGTGGCCATTTCGGTCTTTCATACATACAAATTGCATCGCTTATCAAATCGCTTGCACAAATGATGTTTCAACATCAATAAAGTATATCATAATAGTATCTCTCAAATTAGGGAAACATACCGGTCATATCATCAATAAAATACCTAATACATATCCCCAAACATCATATGGCCCTGTCAGTCTTCCATACAAATCAAACCAAATTCATCGTAAAAGGTAATATACATGTATATTGATGGGGCGTTGGGGATAACGCTTCGGCAGTCGTGGCACCTTTTCCCCCTCATGACATCGCTAGAACGAACTGATTGGTTTTAACATTTCGCGACTTGCACTAAAACAATTGATAATGTCATTTCATTCCTGTAACAAACATCTCTCAAAAACAAATCATACGAGACAAAGATGCCATTACATACTGGGAGAACGATGTATATTTCCCCACGGAGGCATCGTCTCACTTCATATAACGGTTTATTGCCGGCACTCGAGGGAGCCAACCGCAGTAGAGGTGCCGAGTGGGAGATGTTAAAATTATGGGTAGCTGTTGCTGGCATTAATACTTGTGCAATAGACCGCCTCCGTGGTCTAATGGTAGAGCGTCCGACCGGAGAGCGGAAGGTCCGGGGTTCGATCCCCGGCCGCGTCACACAAAAAGACGTTAAAAGATGGTACTTGTTGTTACCCTGTCTGTCGCTCTGCATTAAGGGGCTAAAACAAGGACTGGTCGGCTCGGAGTCAGTATACTGTGTCTGAGTGGGGTATTCATGTTTAACTGGCGGCATGGTATCTCAGTGAGCTAGCACAATAAATCGGCATCAGTCCGGACTAGTACAAGCAGCCACACAAACACACACACGTACATGCTCGTCGCTATATAAGTGCAATAATCTTGGAAGCGACGTTAAACCCCATTTCACCTCACCTCACTTGTGCAATAGTGTGAGTGAGTTTGATTTTACGCCGCTTTTAGCAATATTCCAGCAATATCAGGACGGGGGACACCAGAAATGGGCTTCACACATTGTACCGATGTCGGAATCGAACCCGGATCTTCGGCGTGATGACCCAACGCTTTAACCACTAGGCTACCCGACCACCCCTTGTGCAATAGAACTGCACTACGTAAGACACTCGTGCAATAGTTCTCCCTCTTTTGCACTGATACGGTCCATACAATAATGATTGCAGTGTATCGATATGTAAAGTTGAGAATGATAACTGGCATGCATACGGATTCACTGGTCAGAGAACAAATATACCGCATTTGGACAGATACTAGTACCTGGATAAATGCGGTATATTAATTTTTAATATAGTCTAAAATAGTTCAACCAATCGCTACAGACTCAGTGTGAACCAACTCCATCTTTGATTAAAAAGTGCCATATCAGCAGAATGCTTTATCATCGCTTGGGCAAGTGAAGAGTATTATATATATTAAGCAATAATTAACTGTGCTATGTCATCAGTTTGCGATGGCGACAGCTTGAGATCAGATGGTAGTTTGATCAACAGCGAGGAAGCGCAGAACTGGAAAGTTCTCTGACCAAAGGTTTTGAGACGGGTTTCCGGGACTTGTAACAGGTGGTTATTCTTCTCCGAGAACGGAAAGATCTGGAAGGCCTGTATATAGGCAGTAGTTCGGATGCACACATATTCGCGAACACCGGGCGTCATCACTATTTGATGGTGATTCATGAACTTATGCTTGTGATACAGGCTGATTGTGCTTATGAAAAGGGTTCTGTTGCTGTTTATTTTCACTGTTAGAAGGTAGGACCGTCGAAATTGATTATTGTCCCCGGTATAAATTAGTGAGTTGGGTTTAACGCCGCTTTTAACAGTACTCCAGTTATATCACGGCGTGTCAGCTTGTTGTGGGAGGAAAGCCCGAAGTGGTGCAGGTCTTAGACGTTTACCATTTTGGTGAAACCCACGAACACGGGTATGGTGCTGACAAGCTTAGAAACATAATCAGGGCGAACTGGGATTCGAACCCACAATCACAGGTTTCTGGCGTGCCCAAGGGACGCAACTCTGCACAGCGAATTGCGGCGCCTTAGACGACTGGGGCACCCATGACCCTCGTATGAGCTATAACAAACAAACTCATGGTTCCATGATCAACACACCTAGGCTTAATAATACCTACACCCTAACGTCATGTAGCCCTGTCTGTACCTCATAGAAAACAAACAACTTTCATCGCAAACAGTAATATTCATTTATATTGTCAGTAAGGGATTACGCCTTGGCAGTTGTGGCCCTTTCGGTCTTTCATATATACATACAAACTGCGTTGCTTATCAAATCGCTTGCACAAACTGATGTTTAAACATCAATAAAGTACATCATAATAGTATCTCTCAAATTAGGGAAACATACCGGTCATATCATCAATAAAATACCTAATACATATCCCCAAACATCATATGGCCCTGTCAGTCTTCCATACAAATCAAACCAAATTCATCGTAAAAGGTAATATACATGTATATTGATGGGGCGTTGGGGATAACGCTTTGGCAGTCGTGGCACCTCACCCCTCATGAAATCGCTAGAACTAACTGATTGGTTTTAACATTTCGGGACATACCGACTTGCACTAAAACAATTGATTATGTCATTTCATTCCTGAAACAAAAGTCTCTCAAAAACAAATCATACGAGACAAAGATGCCATTACATACTGGGAGAACGATGTATATTTCCCCACGGAGGCATCGTCTCACTTCATATAACGGTTTATTGCCGGTGTCCCGGTATAAAAACTCACCCGTACAAATTCTCCCCCCGGAGATTTTATACCGGTACAGATTCTCCCCCGGAGAATCTGTTCTGAAATAAAATCTCCCCCGGGCGGATATATTTCGAAAAATTAAAAAAACATTAAAAAAACCACACACACACAAGTAACTAAATGTATATTTAGATAAATATATAACCCAGAAAAAATAAAGGAGAGAAAAAAATTAATTAAAAAATACTTAAACACATAAACATTAAAACTTTTGAACTGCATGGCAAGTATTTATAAAACGACCGGGGGAGGAAATATTCTGGGGGGAGATTTTATTTCGTAGGATGGGGGAGAGTTTATTTCGAGAGGGGCGGAACTGTACCGGTATAAATTCGCCGGGGGGGGGGGGGGGGGGGGGGGAGATTTTATTCTGGGGGCGATTATATTTCGTGACACCGGCACTCGAGGAAGCCAACCGCAGCAGAGGTGCCGAGTGGGAGATGTTAAAATTATGGGTAGCTGTTGCTGGCATTAATACTTGTGCAATAGACCAAAAGACGTTAAAAGATGGTACTTGTTGTTACCCTGTCTGGCGCTCGGCACTAAGTGGCTAAAACAAGGACTGGTCGGCTCGGAGTCAGTATACTGTGTCTGAGTGGGGTATTCATGTTAAACTGCGGCATGGTATCTCAGTGAGCTAGCACAATAAATCGGCATCAGTCCGGACTAGTACAAGCAGCCACACACATACATACACGTGCATGCATGTCGCTATATAAGAGCAATAATCTTGGATGCGACGTTAAACCCCATTTCACCTCACCTCACTTGTGCAATAAAGTGAGTGAGTTTGATTTTACGCCGCTTTTAGCAATATTCCAGCAATATCAGGGCGGGGAACACCAGAAATGGGCTTCACACATTGTACCGATGTCGGAATCGACCCCGGAGCTTCGGCGTGATGACCCAACGCTTTAACCACTAGGCTACCCGACCGCCCCCT